TTTTTTTTTTTCCATGACGTACTTTTTATATTGGACAATACGGCCCTTGCTCCGGATTTTCGTCCCAACTAATTTTTAAGAAAATTATTTGCATTTAGTGAAAGTCGGACCTCAAACGTAATACTTTACGAGACACTAGGGTCAAGTGATCGACATTGCCACTTAAGCAACCCCTTGGGCACAGTTAGTGAATTGGAAAGAGTAAATAACATAAACCTTAGTTTCGATTAATAAAATGGATTACACACATGCATTTAAGCCTTAATTTCTATTCCTCATCCCCCTCACACGGTTTGTGACATCTAATTTTCTTTCAAAAACCATGTTCCTTAAGTGGCAGTTGCCAAGTCAGAAACATTACCATGCACGACTAATTTAAAATTCAACGAGGAAATTAAATTGTCAATTATTTCTCCCAAGGATGTATTAGTTGTGTAACAGCTAGCCAACTATATCTGTATCATCCAATTTAGATTTGGTAGTTGATATGCGATATACTTAATCAAGCAATTAAATACACATACAAAGCACACATACATAATGTGTGTGTGTGTGCGTATATAGTGACGTCTCTATCTTTGCTAGTGTTTTGTAATGCTAATTTATACGTACGTGTAAGGAAATATATACGAAGTCATATCTTAATTTTATACATGTAAGTCATGTTTACATACACCCTCTTCCACCTTAGCTTATCCGAATATTGTTTGTTTTGTTAGTAAACTAACTACGGAGTAATTGCTAGTCTGCAGTACTAATTATTTTTATTAATTAAGGCTCCGTTTGTTTTGATCTAAAAAATATTTTTTCAGATAAAATATTTTTTTAATTTTTACTTTTTCAGTGTTTGGTAAAAGTCTACCTCTAGGTCAAATCAATCGGGCGGGATATGTAAAATAACTAGTCAAAAATTGATGGATAAATTATTTTATTAAATTTTAATTTTTTTTATAAATATTTTACGACAATCAAATTCTAAAAAATAAAAAAATATTTTACGTCCAAACAAACGGAACTTAAGTGCTCCTTCACATGGGATCAGCCAGCAAACTTGCTTTGAATGGATTTGAGGATGCAATTCCCAAATTCTCTTCTGCTCATGATGAGCAGATATCTTTATGACGTCTCAATTCTCAACTCTATAATTCACACACAAACACACACCCACGCACACATATAATTTATATGCAATTTTTTTTTTTTTTTTTTTGGTAACTTAATGCATCGGGAGTACAGATGACATGATATCATTTATTAATTAAACACTAATACGTAATAATATGACTTACTAAAATAAATTCATTCTTGTAGATATTAATAGACATGATACTCCCTAAGTCACACAATTCTTTATATTTTTATTATGTATGACATAATTTTATTGTTCTCACGTTTTCGTTCTTAAATTCGCTCACTTCAGCCTCGCTTTATCTAAGGTATTCCTACTGTAACATGTGCTCCTATTCTTTGCACGAACAAAGGTGCCTAGTGGACCCACCAAAGAGATGAGGTCCCCTATCCTTTGCTTGCTCATCTTGGTAACTTCATTCAACAAAACATTTATTTGAATATATATAAAAGGATTGATCAATAATATAGTGTACAGGAGGACCTAAATACTAAACCATGTACTTAGAAATGTTGTGTTCTTTTTTTAATTTGTTAGGTAGTGTGTCGCCTGTTCTCAGGTTCTATCCATTTACTTTTGGTATAGCATTTAATTTAATTTAATTTAATTTAATAACAAAGGTGTGAATGTATTGGAACAGTGGACAGGACCAGAATAGAAGATATGAATGAAATGACATCTACGTACTCTTAGAAGTGGTCAAGCTATATTAGTAGGCAACATTTTTTAATCATTAACTTTTTATTTATTTTTATTTTTTTAGTGAATTCTCATAATTAATATCTGTAAGAGTTAAGATTTAGTCAACTCTTCTTTATCCAATAAGAATGTCAACCTTGTAAGAGTTGCAATGAGATCCACTTGTACTACTACTATCAATTTGAAATATATATATATATATATATATATATATATATATATTTCAAATTCGTTATTAGAATGAATCAACAATGCTATTAATCATACAATGATTAAAAATTACATCACTTAGACAGAGAATATATTTGTTAATATGAATAATGGAATAATCTACAATTCTGTTGCCGGCACTCCTCCATCCCAAGCCAACATCATATGTGCAAGGGCCACTCAGAAATTTATATTTAGGAGGACGAAAAATAAATATAAATAAAAATAACATAAGGAGAAGATAAAAAAATATAGTTTATATTGGCATTTTTTTTAATATAAACATGGATTTCTAAAAGTAAAGCATAAAGGTCGGCCCTGATATTTAATTTCAACTATTTTAGAGCTTTATAAATAGGATTTTTAAAAAAGGTTTGAGACGGCCATGGTCCCAGAACATATATATATATATATATATATATATATATATATGTCAGGCCCTGCATATATACACAAATATTTATGCATATATACGTAGCATCACTTTAGAACCAGGGCCGGTGATCAACTTAATTGCTGTTTAATAAATCATTTCAGTATTATCTCAATAATTTAAGTTATTATTCAATTAAGTACATTTAATAACACAATTTATATATTCTTACAAGAATGAATTTCACTTAAAATGAAATAAAATTTAAGTGATTTATACGTCACTTGTTACTAAAATTCATATTTTTTAAAAAAAAAATTCTTAAATTAAATTAACACATAAAACTTAATACTTAAAAAATGAATTCTTATAAATTTAGGCACTTAAAAAATTAATTTTTATTTTTACTTTACAAAGTCACACCATAGAACCTCCTTAAGTTCATATAATTGAAGTAATTAAATTGAGAAGCCTATACATCCTTTATCCAATTTTTCAGAGCAAGGATTTATACAAATAATAATAATAATAATAATTTCCTAGGTGTATTAATTTTGACAAGTCATAATGCATGGAAGAGTTTACACAATTAATTTAATTCTGCGCTAATAATTTCAACAAGAGTTAGGCAGTCAAATATATATACGTTTCCAACCTGTTTACATATATTCTCCAACTGTCATTAATTCAAAGACATTCATCTTTCTAATTAAATGTCTCTCTCAAACTAAATTAGTCCAACTTAATTTTATATAATATTCACCAAATTAATGCTTCAACTTCTTATGTGCATCTAGAAAAGGTAAATTGACTACAACCGACTTGAACAGATGAAACTTTATTCACATGCATAAACATAAAAATAAAAATAAAAATAAAAAGTAATGCTACTTAAGCACCTCTATATTTTGTTGACAGTGGTAGTGCCGGTTCTTTTAGAACATTCTATAATTTACTGTCGGACAAATGCAATCATTCGCAACACATTTATTAAAAAAAAATTTAAATAACCTCTCAACAAGTAATACCTACCCACGATATCATCTCATCGGTGTCTATTGATCATTTTATTTTCGTGTCCATATATCAACTAAGCATTGATCATTATATTTTCGCATCCATGTATCAACTACTCGTAAGTTTTTCTATGTACAGTGATATTTCATATATATATATATATATATATATATATATATATCAACCTAACAGTCATTTTGTTTAGCTATACTTTAGAGTAAATGTTTGAACATTCTTATCTCTTCCTTATTTAATGAAACAGTAGTCATACGCAGCATGCATGTGATCAATATAAAGCAGGCCGAAAAGGTCAACGTAGGCCTCAATTTTTAAAAGAAATATATGTTACTCTGCAGTTATTTACAATAATTAATCTAACAATCACTATATATATATATATATACACACACACATCATATGAAGCGTGTTGATCGATGAGCACTCTCTGACGAGGACAATTAACAACATGCAGTTAATTTGTATTTTTGTTTCCATCACAAAATTAACAAGCCTTTCTAATTCAAAATTCAAGACATCAATTATACATATTGCATACTAGTTAATTAAGTGGTTGTTTTAGCTTGTTTGTGATGGGTTGTTGCTTTGTAGATGCTGTAAGGCTGCTCTTTGCCAGGAAAAAGAAAAAGAAAAAAAAAATTCAATTTAATTGATTCTAGTATTTTAAAAAATTCTAGTATCTAATAAAGTTTTTTTTTCCCCCTTAAAGTAGTATTTAAGAAAGTTCATTCCAAGTAGCTTTTTATTATTTTGGACTAAATCCCAGTAGTCTATAATTGAATTTTTCAAGACAGTAACATGCAGGAAATTAACACGACTTTTAATTATTCCTTTATTATTTTTAAAGACTCCGCTATTCTGAATATATAAGTAAATGTTATTTATTAATTTGGATCATCAGTCCCATCATGAATATGAGTTCAGCCCAAAGAATAAATTAAAATAATAAAAATTAATCGTTGGTATATGCAAAATCAAATTGCTGGAATATTTTGCGGGAAAAAAATAGTATCAATTATTTCAAATTTCAATGTAATATATTAGCACGGTTCATGACTGATTCATTGAATAATATTGCACCAGTATATTAAGAATGGTTATAAAAACTCAGGCAATAACGGTGCAACCTTCTTATAATACGTACTGACCAAAAAAACCTAGCTTGCTTCATGTAATGCATGATTCATTCATTAAGTATATGTCATTAACCATGCTAATATATTCATGTGTGTATTTATGTATGTATGAATATGTCATGAACGCGTTTCGTGACTCTTCCGATCGATTTCCTCAAATCTGAAGTCAACACACAACAAATTATTAAAAGAAATAAATATAACCTGTTATTCCTCATAGGAATTTATTCGTCTAGAATATAAAATAAAATAAAATAAAAACCTAGATATTGCCTATTTACTATTTTCGTTATGAACCCTTAATTAAATAATCAAATTATAATAAAAAAGGAAGGTGGTGCATCACCATCACTAGTACTTTTTATTAGTCACCCCTTGGTTTCATTGCTTCTATATAAAGTCATGAAATGAACACATAAACAACACATAACCCTCACGAAACCTAGCTTATTACTCTTATAGCAAGCTTGTGATCATTAATTCCCTTCATAAGGTCCAAAATTCGACGCGATCGTCACGCCAAAAATGACATTTCGATTGTTTGAAATCCTTGGATTGTTGCTTCTTTTTCTTTCTCCGATTGTATCTGGCTACACAGCCACTGAAATAAAGTCATGGTGTAGCCAAACACCATATCCCAAACCCTGTGAGTACTTCTTGAGCCATAACCCCAATTATGGCCCTGTCACAAAAAGGTCTGATTTTTTTAAGGTGTCACTACACCTTGCCCTAGACCGTGCCCTAAATGCCCATAATAATGCATACAAGCTCGGCTCAAAGTGTCGTAACGAGCTCGAAAAAGCTGCATGGTCTGATTGTCTTGAGCTCTATGATTACACTATTTCGAGGCTCAACAAAACCTATGATCCTAACACTAAGTGCTCCCAAGTTGATCAACAAACATGGCTCAGCACGGCTCTAACCGACCTCGAGACGTGCCGGGCCGGGTTTCTGGAGCTAGGGGTTTCGGACTATGTGTTACCCATGATGTCAAATAATGTGACCCAGCTAATTAGCAACAGTTTGTCCATGAATAAGGTCGCGTATGGTGTGCCAAGCTATAAAGAGGGGTTCCCCACTTGGGTTGGGGGCCATGACCGGAAACTGTTGCAGTCATCGTCTCCGGCCTCTCAGGCGAACGTCGTGGTGGCTTCGGATGGGTCGGGGGATTACAAGACAGTGAAGGAGGCAGTCGCTGCAGCTTCGAAGCGATCGGGAAGTGGAAGGTATGTGATATACGTGAAGGCAGGGACATATAAGGAGAATGTTGAAATTGGAACAGGTTTGAAAAATATCATGTTGTTGGGTGATGGTATTGGGAAGACTATCATCACTGGAAGCAAAAGTGTTGGAGGAGGCACTACCACATTTAAATCAGCCACAGTTGGTAAGTTCAAATTAATCTTAATTATTTGTTATTTATAATCCTAGAACTCAAGATATTAAATTACAACCAAAAAAAAAAAAAAATACCTACAAAATAAAATAATGAGCTCGTCCAAACGGACAGGCTCCCAACGAGACTGTTTTATATTTTGAACTCGTGACTTTCAAATCTAAGTCCGCCTTCAAATTACTAAAAATTATTTAAATAAGTAAATCATCATATAGATGACTTGGGCTATGAAATAATTTCTCAATAAATAAATAAATATTAGACAAAAACTTATAAAAGTATACAAATAAATTAGAATCAGCTAGACTTCTACAAATACTATTGATGAATTTATTTAGGATACAAAGAAACCCATTACTGTTCAATAATTTACTAATTTATAATTTTTAAGAACGTCGTGCATTCATTTTTTAATTTGCAAAACAAATCTAGTAGGCACTTGTCTCCTCTTTTTAATTGGATGGTTGACATTTTACTATTTTAGGCAGCAGGCAAAATTAAATAAATAAATTTATATATTTGAAATATTATATATATTCAGTTCAATTGATATTTTTGACTTCTGTATTAAAATGACCATGAAGAAGACATTTCTGATTTTGAATGTCATGAAGAACAATATTTTAACTACAAAGAATATGTCTCTCATTTATGGGACCATTTCTGAAATTACCAAGTGTGGATGGTCTTTGGCTTCAAAGGGTGGCCAATAAGCTTTATAGATTGCTTTAGAAGCAAATTGACCAATTAACCAAAACTAACACATCATGATGTCTATGTTTGAGACTTTTTAAAACTAGACAACAAAGATAGATAGCTTATCCATTGACAAAATATTCAGTTTTGATGACTTTTTTGGCTTATAAGTACTACATTAATTTATTGCTGCTTTGAATTAATAATACTAATTCCGACCTTGACAAAATCTTGTTTTAAATTTAATGAATTTCAGCTGCGGTTGGAGATGGATTCATTGCCCGCGGCATCACATTCCGAAACACCGCCGGAGCGGCAAACCACCAGGCGGTGGCTTTCCGGTCAGGCTCCGATCTCTCGGTCCTTTACCAGTGCAGCTTCGAGGGGTACCAAGACACCCTCTATGTCCACTCTGAGAGGCAATTTTATAGAGAGTGTGACATTTATGGCACGGTCGATTTCATTTTTGGAAATGCTGCAGTTGTGCTTCAAAATTGTAACATTTATCCACGAAAACCACCTAACAAGACCAATACCATAACAGCCCAAGCTAGGACTGACCCTAACCAAAACACTGGAATTTCCATCCACAATTGTAAGGTCACGGCGGCTTCGGATTTAAAACCGGTTCAGAGTTCGGTAAAAACATACCTAGGGAGGCCATGGCAAAAATATTCGCGCACAGTCTACCTTAAGACGAGTCTGGATAGCTTAATTGACCCGGCTGGTTGGTACCCTTGGGATGGCAATTTCGCTCTTGATACATTGTATTATGGAGAGTATATGAACACGGGTCCGGGTTCATCCACGGCTAATAGGGTAAAATGGAAGGGCTACCATGTCATTACTAGTGCAGCCGTGGCGGGTAAGTTCACCGTCGGGAGCTTTATTGCCGGAGGTTCGTGGCTGCCGGCCACCAAAGTGCCTTATACATCCGGACTTTGATTGTTTTAGTGTTGCATTTTTAATTGTATATGCATGTTTGATTAATGTCTTGGCAACGAAGGTACTAATTTGAGTTCCTTGTTGCACAAAAATAAAATTAATTGTGTGTGCCCAATTATCAGTTCTGTAATAGAATTGTAATTCTTTTTTCTAATAATGATGAATGTCATTTGTTGTCATCCTAATCTAGTGGTTTTCTCATTTAATTAAATAGTTGTGATGATCATGCCTTGGATGTCATGGATGAAAAATTCCAACTTTTATGCGGGTCCACCTGCAATTTGTCACAATTAATTAAGATAAAGATGGTGACATCATTGGCAATTACTTGTTCTTCTTTCTATGTATCTCGGTCAAATTTCTTTTTTTTTCCAACTAAATTAGTTAAATTAAGTGACAATTCATTGAAGATAATTCAATGTGTGTATATATATATATATATATATATATATAAGATTGAAAACTGAAAGGGATATTATATATCAAATGCCTGCTAAACCAAACTTCACAATTTTCTTTATCTGGCCAGAAACATCTAATTGATACTGTGAAATTTGATGCTGATGTATATGACAACATTCACGTTATCCGATTATAGATATGAAGATCTAAATTTTATATCCAAGTGTTATTATATATTAGAAGTGATTATACATAAATATCTAAAAGATTTACTAATTATTTTCCTTTTAAAAATATATAATATGAACGTTATAGTAATAAATTCAAGTAGACTTAAAATTGAACCAAGTGGAATTTTTATGTAATTGAGTGCATCAGATTAATTATAATGGTTTTCTCATTTAATTAAATAGTTGTGATGATCATGCCTTGGATGTCATGGATGAAAAATTCCAACTTTTATGAGGGTCCACCTGCAATTTGTCACAATTAATTAAGATAAAAGATAGTGACATCATTGCCAATTACTTGTTCTTCTTTCTATGTATCTCGGTCAACTAAATTAGTTAAATTAAGTGACAATTCATAGAAGATAATTCTATATATATATATATATATATATATATATATATATATATGGATAAATAAATAAATCAAAGTAGGCTTAAAATTGAACCAGTGGAATTTATATATAATTGAGTGCATCAGATTAATTATAATGTCAGATTATTATTAATTATATTCGAACTCATGGATCAAATAATGCATCTTAATCTGGCCTTATGTTGGTGAAATTCAGATTTTGATCCACTTGGTTTTTTTATAAAGACATTAGAAAATTTGAGAGACTATAAAGGTTACTCTAACTTCTTAAGTTCTGTTTGTGTCTCTGTATTTTGAAGTGTCCTAGGACCAATCCACTCCCTTCTATGTGTGTGTGTGTGTGTGACCCTAATGTGTAGTAATTTAAATAAATAAATAAATTACTAATAAATAAACAAAAACATGAGGCCTGAAGCTCAACCAGAGTCCACCAAGTGTTGGCCCGGCTTGAGCCCGTTACGAGCTAGCCCAGCCCAGTCCAATAAGAGGTGTGGAAAAAAGGCCAGTGGTAGCCCAGTAGGTTGTACTATACATGGTCAAATAGCCCACGCTTCCTTAGCCCATTTTCGAACACCAATGACCCAAGGCTACCAACATCATAGACCAAATTTATAAGGGCCAGACTCAACCCATACGGTCATTTTGTAGACAAACACAACGGTCAGAATCTCCTTCCAAACCTGTAGCCAGAAACCTTCAAGAGTTCCGTCAAGGCCCGCAGGGCTGGGCCTGGGTTTCTTAAAATTTTAAAACCCACACCGGGCCGTTAACCAGTCATGGTCCAGCAGGTTAGGGCCTGGACTCCAAATTGGTGGCCAGCCCGGCATGAGCATGGCCTGTACTTACTTTATTGGAGACAAGTGATATCTCCCATTACTGTATTGTAATTTTGGTATTTCTAGGATCAAAAAAAAAAAAAAACAATTTTTTTGAAGTTGCTTTTATAAGAATCGGTAACTGTAAGTAGAGTTAGGTTAGTGCACAAGATTTTTGTCACTACAAGATTTACAAAGGTTTAATGTAAGTAACCTTCCCTCCATCCATATGCCGAGAGAGCATTTTCTGCTCCGAACTCATTATTTGTACTCCCTCCGTCCCATAAAAAGTATCACTCTTAAGGAACCGTGACTCTCACAAATTGAACTGACACGATTCCCTAAACATGACACTATTTTTGGAACGGAGATAGTATGTTATAATGAAATAATTCAACTGTAAAATCAATAAAAGATAAAATTTAAATGAAAAAACTAAAAGCACAACTTTAATTCGATAGATATTGAACATATATATATTGGACAATACTTGCTTATTCACTAATAAATAGGAAGTTCATACTTAAGCTGATATGTCCCTACAATATAAAATAATACTATATAAAAATTAAAAGATTTGAGAGGTTATTTAGATTAAACCCAATATGATCCAAATTTTACATTTTGTCCATGGAGAAGGGGATCTTGTCGAAAAAAACCATTTTAAGTTAAAATTCTGAAATAAAATAATATTACAAAATACAAATAAAACTTTAGATGATTAATAGAAAGAATAACTATAAATTTAATCATACATAAATATTTGTCTTCTGCCAAAAGAAAAAGAAAACAAGAAATAAGTAATAATAATATGGAAAATGATAGGGTGGAAAATGATAGGGTCGCCGAATGATTTTGTTGAATAAGTCCCGAATCTGACGTGTTTTTGTCCACCTCATCAACTTAAAGAGTTTTCAAAAAATAATTGTTTAACACGTGATAAGTATAGCCAATTACATCAAATTCGGTATTAATTCGAAGATATCTTTTCGGTTCCCTTATCATTACTTTAATATTATATCCTACAATCAACAAATAATGTGAATCAGATTTTATGTAATCGGGTGTACTTTAGATAAAAAAAAAAAAAAAAAAAAAAAAAAAAAAAAAAAAAAAAAAAAAAATGATAAAGATATATAAGGATTACATGTTAAACATGAAAGATAAAAGTCAAAACTTCCCTTATTAACCGATTAAGGTTTAGCAGAATAGTTTGAGAGAAAGAAAAAGAAGGAGAGTTAAATTAGGATTTGATTTGCATCTATTTAGATTGACCCATTAAACAATCAAAAATTTTTATTTTTATTATTTTTTAATTTTAGACGCACTTGTCACGTTACTTTTGGACCAGGGATAAGTATAGGGATGGCAACGGGGCGGGTTTGGAGCGGGTTTCCCTAAATCCCGCCCTGCCCTTTTACTTTTTGTCAAGTCCATACCCGCCCCGAGACCCGCGACGGGTTAGATTTTCATGTCCAGCCCCGCCCGTTAAGAAATACTGTGCCCCCGTGCCCGCCTCGCTAACAAATTTTTTTCTCCCACTTTTTCGAACTTAAACTCCTGCTATTTAAATATGCAAAGCCTAGGAATGGCACAACATAAATAAATTATGTATCCCAACAAAAATAAAAAAATAACATGCACATCACATAATTGAGAACATAATAAACAAAAATAAAAGTTTAATACAACCAAATCACAAGAAGTTCTAAGCTCTAACTTCCACCATAACCAAAATAAAAGCATATTTAATACCAAGTTTACATCCCAAATTAGGATTATAAGAGATGGGTAATTGGGTAAGCCGCTAAAATAACTTATTAATATATATATATATATATATATATATATATATATATAGTTATATGCGGGGCGGGGCGGGGCGGGGCGGGGCCCATAGGATATGTATATTGAACCCTTACCGGCCCCGTGACTCTCGACGGGTACAAAATTTGTATCCATATCCGCCCTAACGGTATAAAAAGTGTTCCCATATCCGTTATTAACGGGGCGGGGCCCCGGCAGGGCGGTAAAAATTGACATCCCTAGATAAGCATGTACTGAGTAGGCAAGTATTAAAAATATCTTCTTGTACATTGCGTGACACTAGGAGAATGAATAATTAAGCTAGAAATTGTAGCTTAAGATGGTTGAGCCCATGACCCACTTCAAGAGTTCAACATCACACAACGAGTGACCTTCCCTTTCATCTGACATTTTCCACTTGCCCCTAATCGTTGAACCTTCATTGTTCCATAAATGTATAATCTTAAATACAGCATGTTAGATTTATTTCATTATCATCGTCATTATCATCATCACTGTCACGTATTAATCTCGAATGAATGAGTCTATCAATAACACAATAGCTCTATTTGTAAGAATTACTTTTTCCCTTTTCGATAGGTAATCAACACAGACAAACATTGATTAGACTATAATATGTGAGGGTCGTGAAGCTCGAACGGCTGACCTTTTTTTCTTTTCTTTTCTTTTTTCTCGAAAAGAGAGTTCATATCACTCAAACCAATAATTCAATTATTTTTGTAAGACTACCATCTAATTTCTATCTAAATAATAAAAATAACAATGTGATGGATTCTGCTGCTACAGTTTTTCACCTTCATTATTGATGTTCTCGCGGAAATAGAAGAACAAAAATAGAGAGAGGCTGATAAACCGATCAACATGTCACTAGATTCAACATTGTCATTTTTTTTTCCCAAGTTTCCTATGACCATGTCTAACTTTTTAGTTCTTAAAAAAATTAGTGTATGACATTACGATTCCAAATTTGAAATTTCATTAATTTATTGCTAATTGTGCTTCTAAGTAGAATGTCATAGAAAATTTGGTTTAATTTTATAAAAATTTAATGTGCAAATTGCATTTTTTTTTTAATTTTTTAATTTTTAAATTTGCAAGTCTATTGTTCTCAACCTTCTTAATTTGACTTTTGAAATTTCTCATTTGCAGCTCGAGTTTGACTCTTTTTTTTCTTTTTTTTAATTTGACTTTTTTTCATTTCCAAGCTGGAGATTGATTCTATCCGTTTCATATACATTTATATATATTTTATGTTTAGAATTTTCAAAACACGTCTACATGATTAGGAGATGCCCAAACATAGAATGCCTAAAATCACTTCCTTTGTGATGTGGGGGCATCATAACACAGGATTCAATAGGGTTGTAATATCATAATTGTGAAGTATAAATTTATAATTGACATATTTCGATGTCAAAATAAGTTCGATCGAGTTGTAATTTTTATGTTACTTTTGAATGTCAAGGTTGAATTTGGAACAACAAGTGCTACCTTACTCCATGATCATCGAGAGAATATAAGTGAAGGATACACTTAGGTTATGTTTTAACATATAGAGCTAGATGGTTTTGGTTAAAAAATTGTTTATTTTTATTCTAAGGAAAAACAAAACCGGTAACGATTGAAAATATTACCGATTGTGTTTTTCTCCGGTGAAAAATAGGTCTCAGTAAAAACGCAACCGGTGTTGTTTCAAAACAAAATCGGTTGTGTATACTCGAACCAAAAAGGAATATTGTTTTAAAGTCCAACCCAATTACATTTTTTTTTTATCATGTTTTAGGGATAAGATTTTACATGAAATTGCTAACTTTTTCAATGATTTCTAGCTCTCTATAAACACTTATAAATATATTTTATGATCTCAAAATCATTACGACTTTCAATATTCAAGTTTTCAAACGTTAAGAAAGCCTTTGAAAGATTCTTTATTTTTCAATTTGAGAACACGCATACTACACACACAGGTGATTTAGGATGTGTTTTCTGCGATTGGAGCTCGTTCTCATATAAGATCTTTTGCTAGCATTATCAAAATAGTTTTGGTTTTCTATTTCAAAAAGTTAGATTTGAAGAAAAGGAGTAAGAAATCACACTTTAAAGGGATCAAAATATTTATAGAGTATTGTTAATCCACTAGCAATCCTTCTACAGAGATCAAGGGAGTAAGCCTGAAGTCAAGTTTTTGCTATTGAATAAGAGAGTCACAGAATCAAAAAAGTTAAGCAATTGTTTCTTTGAAGAGTTAAAGGGTGCAAGTCTGAGTCGAAGTTCATTATATATAATTTACTTCATCTCTAGTGGATCTTTTGCTCGAGACTGTGTGACAGTTTTCAAAGTTTTTCTAATGTTTAGATGATTTTTTCCGACTAGGTTTCCTTACTAAAATTCCGGTGATCACTCTAAATTCTTACATTTATTTTTGCTTTATGGATTGATTGATTTACATTTAATTTAAGCAAAACTTTGGATAAAGGAGTAAGTTACACTTACTCATTGTTAGGAATTATGTCTCAAATTCCCATTATTATTAGTTTCTATTTTAGAGTGTAATTTTATGGTAATTTCTTATAGAGACGTGAATTGGGCTCTAAAAAATTGTAATCCTTGTCCATAAAAGAATTGGGTATGCGACTCTATAAATAGACACTTAGGCTATTGTTGAGAGTGATGAGTTGAGGGAGATCTAACCTCATGAGGGAGTACGATGATGGTAAGGGTGAGTTACGGGTTTGGTAGAGTGAATACTGATGGCGAGATGGAGTCTCGTGGCGTACACAGAGAACTCGGTCAAGAGTTTGTGTGCTTGGTCCGGTGTTGAAATTCTCTACTATTGTAATATCTCTACATATATAATAAATCTCTTCTCATTCGTGGATGTAACCTTGATTTTGGGTGAACCATGTATATATCTTGTGTTGTGGTTTAAAGTGTTGTTTTCTTTCTTTCTTTTGCTTCCGTTGTGCTCCAACAACTGGTATCAGAGCCAAAGGTGAAAGAGATCCAAAAAACACAAGAAGTCTCAACATGTGCTACAACGGGCTTCAGCTGTAGGTGGAGTCAATCGGCTTGAGAACTCGATCAAGAGTTTGTATGCATGGTCCGGTGTTGAAATTCTCTACTATTGTAATATCTCTACATATATAATAAATCTCTTCTCCTCCGTGGATGTAACCTTAATTTTGGGTGAACCACGTATATATCTTGTATTATGGTTTGAAGTGTTATTTTCGTTCTTTTTTTGGCTTTCGCTGTGCCCCAACACTCATCTCTTTTTAAATGTTTGTTAATATTTCGCAACTATTTTGCTTAGTGCAACCCACAACAATACATTTTAATCTCAAATCCAAATTCAAGTATGTCTCCCTTCCTTAAAGTTGACACCCATACTCACTTTTTCAAACTTATCATTCACATCATGTACTTAAAAAGAGGTTAGTTCTATACTTGTGTCTTAATTATTAAGGGTGGTTCAAATTCCTAATCCTACCCAAACATGCTTAAACATGCTACCCGCCAAACACGCCCTATATGTGTATATATTTGACATTTCAACGCTCCATTTGATCACGCTTGAATGCCCAAAGATGCAGGTATTTATGATGCGACTTGAATTGAATGGAGAGAGGGTCACCTCTCTATATATATACATATATCAAGTGCCCAAAATTCCACACATTCGATGGACCACGGTCTAAGAAGTCCTAAGAAAGTGGGTGGCCGTACTTTATGTGCCATTTGCCTAAATAATGGACCATTTGGGTTTTGGGGTCCTCCTAATGTGGCTCTGTCCTTTGACAGATCAAGTTCATAGTTTATACCCCCATCAAAGGCAAGTGGGGATGAACCATGTAGATTCTCCACTACCATGTTCACCAATACTCAAGAAAATGACATCTGTGGTGATGAATAATTTGACGGCAAATTATCTAATTTCTATTGGTCGAAAGTAAAATTGAAGAAAATTCAAGGAAAAATGTCGCAACCCGCCGAACCCGTATGGGCTTGTACATATCTTCTATTTTTTAAAGAAAATTAGCTTTGGTATCATCTATTACGACTCATAATTTGTTATATCATTCAATACGCAACCCTTTTTCAAGTTCGATATATCATCAGTATTGATCAATTTATACTGATTTTATCCGAAACCGTTACACTGCCACCGCAAAAGTGACCGATACTGTCAACTATGATTACATGTCCCAACTTGTATAAATATTATTCGTTTTGCAAACTCTTATCATGATTTTTTTTTAAAAAAAAGGTTGCAACAGTTAAAAAGTGTTCACACATATAAATATCAAAAATCGTGGGACGTCACCTTTAGATAACACTTTAAAATAACTCCATGTATCATAAGCTAAAATAAATATATATATATATACAAACATGCCTGTCAGTACATTCTGAAAACTTATAATCAAAATTGTTCATTTATTTGAATAAATATTTAAAATAATATTTTTCATTTCTAAACATTAGAAAATGAAAATGAGAGCGAAAAATTACTTTGAATAATATATCATCGTCCAAACATAATTTTCTAAAAGCAATATGGAAAAGGCTATATCCGATATGTTAAGATTGTAATGGGGTTGAGTTGTTTATGAAAAAGTTGAGCTTAACTTGACTTGGAAGTTATTCATGTTCATTTATTTATCTGACAATCTAGATAGTTTATTAAATTAGTTAAGTTTTAAAAACTTCTTATTAAAGATTCATTAGGTGCTTGACAACCAGCTGCACTTGTTAAGATTCGTAATCAGTAAACTTTTTTATTTTTCAATTATATTGACTTAAGCCATAGAAAGAAAGAAAGAAAAGAAGAAAAAAAAATGGGAGACAAAGTTGTTTTCATGCCGTATTTGTCACGATTAAGTAAGTATTAATTGTTATATTTATTATTTTATTATATTGCATTTCATCAAATAACTGTTAATTGTTATATTTATTATTTTATTATATTGCATTTCATCAAATAACTGCTGCATTTTATTAAATAATCAAATTATTAAGGCTATGTTTTGTTTGGACATAAAAATTTTTTTTGAGGGAAATTTTTTTTTTTAAGTAAAATATATATATATATATATATATATATATTTTATTTTTTGATATTTGATAAATGTCTAAATTGAGGTTGTGGCCAAGCCCAAACTAGTGAGACATATTTATAAAATAACTTGTTTAAAATTGATAAATAAATTATTTTTATTTAATTTTAATATTTTTTTCTACAACCAAATTTCAAAAAACACAAAAAAATATTTTACGCCTAAATTGAAACTTTGAAACTGAATTGAATCCAACAGATCAAATTTAACAACAATTCAATTGAATTTGTATCGATTTAAAGATTCCACGTCAACGACCAAATTCTACCAATTTGTTTGTGTACCTACAATTTCTAACTCTCACTTATAAATACTGAATTCTACCTTGATTAAAGGTTTAGAAACAAATTCCCACGTGCTTAATGTAACCGTGACACGTGCCAAGTGAATAGACTAGTTCAATCACAATTCACACACGTTGAGAAAAAGAAAAAGAAAAAGAAAAAAATTTCCTCCACAGAATTCTCACAAACAAAAATACCCAAGAGCATAAATGATGAAAAAATAGATCTTCTATAAATTTACAACTAAAATTGTATGACATCTATGAAGTAAATAAATATATATATATATAAAAGACTATCTAAATAAAATGCTAAACACGATTGGTTCACCAACACTAATCATAATTTTTTTTTCGTCATCATCATAATCAACCATCAGACTCAGTAATGCCTCTTCCTCGTCAGCAACTTCCGGCCACCGTGACCGGCGGCGATCTGGGTCTGAACGCTCTCGAACTCGGAGATCCGACAAGGGATAGTAATCCCACCCGGGTGGTTAAACCCATACTCATCCTCAGCCTCCCTCAACAGCTCCCCAAAAAGTGGGTGATTGAAGTAAATCACCGGGACCAAAAACCTATGAAAGTCGCCGTCTTTCTGACCCACATACACCGCCAAATGACCCTTCGGCACCGCCACAGCCTTCTCTCGATCAATCGGGTCCTGACCCAGATGAGCATAACCCGGATTCGTTAACCGACACGATTTCATGGAACAGAGAGACCTGGCTTTGGTTTTAATACAGCTGAAAAGTCTCGATATGGGTTTGAAGCTGCAAGGTGGGTCTAGCCGGATGTACCCCGCCGGCGACCTGTTTCGCCGGAAAAACTTGAAGACCCGTTTCTTGATATTGAATCCCCGGAACTTTCTCATTTTGGGTTTGATTTATGAGAGAGAAAGGAGAGAGAGAAAAGAGAGTGAAATTTGCTGAATCTGGTTGTTTCAGAAAGGTGGGTTTCAAGAGAAAGGCCAAGGATCGGCGGTGGACATGGCTAAGCGAAACAGAGTGAGACAGACTTCAGAGAGAGAAGTGGGTATGTTGGACATGTTCAGTTGTGATGTTACAGAATGAGAATTTCATCCGAAACTAGGGTTTTGAACCGTTTCTGAGGGTTGGTTGTGATGTAGTAGAAGATAGGTGGATATACGAGGGGGTGTGAAACAGATGAGAAGGCTATTTGGGTTGTTTTATACTCGAAATGGGTAATACGGGTCAAAGCAAGAACGGGGAGCGAAATAGGGCAGGGCTTGAAAAAGTCGGCACGCGATTGAATGGGTTGAAGAAAATGGAGCTATATAGAGAGAGAAAGTAGAGAGATGGTGTGAAGGACCAATAGTTGAAGTTGCAACAAAAATGGCAATTGAATAGTACTATAGTATTTGAAGAGTTGGTGATGCAGATGCAGATGCAGATTCTCAATCTGCCGTTGGATCATTTTTTATTGTTTGATAGTGCCCACGTGTTAGCTTGTTATTGGCTAGTCAGAATTATGTTTTGTTTTGTTTCAAAGAGAAGTATGCCACGTATATTGTAGTCATCTAGACTAACAAAGTCTACTGATTTTTTTTTTTTTTTTTTTTTTTTTTTTTCATGTTCAATCTTTTAAAATAATTTTATAATTTATTATCAGACACGTATAATTTGTCACCAAATAAATACCGAGATAATTCTCTAAGCACGGCCGCCTCAACAAAAATGTGAGATTTTTTTTTGAAATGTGAATTACAAAGTACTTCAAGTTGTAGGTAGTGATTCAAATAAACGTGAGCAGGTTTTTTCTGTTTTCTTGCATAAGGTAATAAGAAGCACCATCTAATGACCTATACATGTGGTGTTCTGTTGCATTAACTTTCACTTTCAGATTTTTTACTTGAAAATAATTGGTTGTTTGACCTAGTCTTATTGGGAAATTTTGATATATATTGTCAATTCAATTTTATTTACAATGCATCTAAATTTGAGATGATAAGATACTCTAATTTTAATTTTGCTCTTTATTTTATTCAGCATTCGGTTATAATCAATCATTTTATATCATTAAAAATTATAATAAACATGTCATGTAGTATTTTAAAAATAAAAAATAAATAACAAATATGACTTCTAGATTTCTTTGACTACGAAGGACAAAATTATAAGATTCATTCTCAAATATTGAAGGATGCGGATTCTAATGAAGGTGTTATGTGAGACGGGTTGTTTATTTAATGAAATAGGACCCAAGATAGATTAATTAAAGGGGGAGCTTCCTTTGTATTTCTTCCCATTTGCAATATTTAATTGAATTCAAGCTTGAATTAGCATTGCACACCCTCTTGAATTCAATATTGCATATAAGTACAAAAATCCGTACACAACGGAATTGTAGTTCGCGGACTACCGGTACTTTTTGGTTAGAGATACGGAACCGTGCGATGCAAATTGATCAGGCCATGACAAAATTGGTGGGCCCAGAAGTGCCACGTTTGCAGAAAATAACGTGTAATTTTTTTAAAAAAATTCTAAATTAGTGAGCCGGCTGATTAAAATATTGACAAGAAGGATAGACCATAGAGTGGCTTTAGCCATCACATTGTCGACCCACTCCTTTTCAACACAAAATTCAAAAGCAAAACCACTAAAGCAAAGAAAGATCAAACAAGAATCAAATCTAAAAAAGAAACTTTTATCTAAAGGTTAATTTATAGAAATTGCATTTCGAGAATACACATCACTTTTAATTTATTTATTTAACCTGTTCTTTTTGTATTTTACACCTATTCTCTGCATCTCAAATTAAATATTTTTTTAAAAAATTTAACTTTTTAAAAAGATAAATTTTAATATTTTTTTACTGTATTAATAGTGAATGAATTATCAAATATGTTTATAGTAAGTCCACAAAAAGTAAGAAGGTTAAATGGGTAATATTACAAACAAAATGTACTTTGACTTTTTGAATAAAAACATTATTTTAATGCAGTCAAAAATAGGAAAAGTGGACGTTTAATTTGAGACGAAATGAGTAATAAATAAGAGTAATCTCTTTCTCCAATACTTTCTAATTATGGCGATGAGACATTTTAAAAAAGAGATTGTGTATTTTCTTTTTCTTTTTGTTCGATTAGATTGAAGAGAATAAAATAAACTTATAATTTTTTATTTTCGGTAAGAGAGAGAAATAAATAGTTTATTATTTGTACCATTATATCCAACAATATTTATAATATTGTAATTGATAGAGGAAAATTTGTACAAGTTATGATAATATTTAATTAAAAACTTCTATAAAAGTTCATTTGTCTTTCCTCCTCTCTTTTACTCAATTTTGAATGAATGAATGAAATTTATAAATGATGAATAATGTGTGTCATTTTTCTCCACACTTTTCATTTTTTTAAAACCAAACACAAAAAAACTCAAAACTAAATAGTTTAGCATAAATATCTTGAAGTGAAAATTGAGTGGCAAGCATCCTCCAACCAAAACAAAATTCGGGCCACAAACATAACGGCTTGTGAGAGGCTTGAAGAGTCCGAATTGGACCCGGTCACCACTCAAAGGCTGCGTGTAGTCCAAGGAAGCAGCGACAAAACTTACAGAAATCTTGTGGACTTTCTTCTCCGGTTTTTATTTTATGCGAGACATAAAGCAAAGTTACATTTGCTTTGGACAAAATCTGTAACGATATAAGACGTTAACCCCTAATAATTAATTAACTTTGTTAATTGATATATATATATACTAATCTAACTCATAATAGTTCTTGTCTTGAATATATATATATACTTTCCCATTATCTATCCAAATATATTTGTTAATTGATAATTTAATGTTGTCAAAGGCATATGTTGGATTTGAATTTCCCATAAATCTCTTGTACCCTAAGTTACAACCATGTGAAAAAATTTATCAATTGGCCCACAAACTTAATTTGTGAAGTAGTTTTATGATGTATAATTCATGTTAAATTTATAGTTTGTTCATATTTGGAGAGAAATATTTCATGTGGCCGATTTCGTTATTATACAGATTTGTGACCATTATAACAATTTGAGTAGTTATTACACATTAAAAAAATCAATTATGATTATATAAATTACAATAATTTATTTTTTTTTGCACTTTAACCGATATTCAATCCTTATAGCAAGTGAGTCAAAATAAAGAACTAAAGAAGTATTGGGTCCAATTTTTTAGGCAGTTGTGTTTTGTGTATTATTCAATTTCACATTAGATAGTTCAACCATGGTGGAAATATGAAACAAGTCTAACTAGTTTATTGTTTGCATTCAACATATTTTTAATATTTTCTTAGTAAATAATATGATTTTTTAACGTCACTTTTAGTTTTTAGTTTTATTATGGTTGAATAACGTGGCTTTTTAGTTGTTATATACCTTGACATCTTCTTCAATCCACAATTTGTTCAACTGTATATTTCCAACTTCGACAACAAACAAGCACTTTGAAAATTATATTCTGACCATATATCATGCACTCGAGTCTTTAATTATATATATATGTCTGTGTGTGTGTGTATAGTTACTGTCATCTATATATATATGTTTATAGTATTGGTACGGACATATGTACCTGCCATGCAACATTTAGAACACTGTTAGAGATATGTGGAGTGGGTTTATCAACATTGACGGCAAAATATAGAAAAATAATTAGATAAGCTGCAATTCAGATTCTGACTCAGCATGAAATTAGAGATAATTCCTATGTCCACATAAGCATGTGACCATCAAATCCCCTCATACAATTAATAAGTTAATTTATTATTATTTTTTATTTTATTTTTACAGTATAAAATAAACAAAGAAAAATATTTGTAGCCCATCTCAATTTAATAATGTCCTATTTTAAGGTTGGTTATACAAATTTTTGTTTTGCTTTTCTACTCAATCGAAGATCATAATAACTTAAACCACACCTTATCAGAATTTTCTTCGGATGCAAACTTTGACTGTTAAAGAGTGTATATACTATATGCATATATGTTTAACTTGTATTTGTGCTTATCTTAGTTTTGATAATGAATTTTTTATTTTTTTAGTTTGATGATGACGGTGTTGAGTCTCTTAGAACACTTCATAATCTATCATAAATAGTTGTGGCCTCTTAATAATGCAGTGTCCAACTGCTCATGATAATATATAGTGTTAGCTTGTTATTGGTTACTCAGAATCATGTTTTGTTTTGTTTCAAAGAGCCTGAACAAGTATGCCATGTATATTGTAGTCTTCAGACTGACAAAGTCTATTGAACTTTTTTTTTTTTTTTTTTTCCTTTTTTCATTGTCCAATTTTTTAAAATAATTTAATAATTTACGATCGAACCCATACAAATTATTTTCGTACCAAATAAATACCCAGATAATTCTCAAAGCACGGCCGCCTCAACAAAAATGTGAGAATTTTTTTGAAATGTGAATTATAAAGTACTTCCAAGTTGTAGGTAGTGATTCAAATAAACGTGAGCAGGTTTTTTCTGTTTTCTTGCAGTAGGTAATAAGAATGACCTATACATGTCGTGTCCTGTTGCATTAACTTTCACTTTCAGATTTTTTACTTGAAAATAATTGGTTGTTTTACCAAGTCTTATTGGGAAATTTTGATATATATAATGTCAATTCAATTTATTTACAATGCATTTAAATTTGAGATGATAGATACTCTAATTTTAATTTTGCTTTTTATTTTATTCAGCAGTTGGTTACAATCAATCATTTTATATCATTAAAAATTATAGTAAACATGTCACATAACATTTAAAAAATAAATAATAAATAATAAATATGATTTTTAGATGTCTTTGACTACGTAGAACAAAATTATAAAATTCATTCTCAAATATTGAATGATGCGGATTCTAATGACGGTGTTATGTGAGATGGGTTGTTAATTTAATGAAATATGACCCAAGATAGACATTAATTAAAGGGGGAGCTTCCTTTGTATTTCTTCCCATTTGCACTATTTAATTGAATTCAAGCTTGAGCTAGCACTGCACACCTCTTGAATTCAATATTGCAGACAAGTACAAAAATCCGTACACCACGGAATTGTAGTTCGCGGACTACCGGTCCTTTTTGGCTAGAGATACGGAACCGTGCGATGCAAATTGATCGGGCCATGACAAAATTGGTGGGCCCCGAAGTGCCACGTTTGCAGAAAATGACGTGTAATTTTTTTAAAAAATTCTAAATTGGTGAGCCGGCTGATTAAAATATTGACGAGAAGGATAGAGTGGCTTTAGCCATCACATTGTCGACCCACTCCTTTTCAACACATAAATTCAAAAGCAAAACCACTAAAGCAAAGAAAGATCAAACGGGAATCAAATCTGAAAAAGAAATTTTTATCCAAAGGTTAATTCTAGAAATTGCATTTTGAGAATACACATCACTTTTAATTTATTTATTTAATCTTTTCTTTTGGTATTTTACACATACTCCCTCCTTCTCAAATTATTATTATTATTATTTTTTTTTTAAATCTAACTTTTAAGAGAGTGAGTTTTTATGTTTTCTTATTATATTGATAGTGAATGAATTATCATTCATAGTGAGTTTACAAGATGTGTTGGTTTATTTTTTATAAGAAGGTTAAATTGGTGATGTTACAAACGAAAAATACTTTGATTTTTCAAATGAAACATTATTTTAAGGGAGGCAGTCAAAAATTAAAAGGTAGATATTTAATTTGAGACGAAGTGAGTAATAAATAAGAGCAATCCCTTTTTCCAATACTTTTTAATTGTGGGTCTCTTATCACCCCTTATGATATGTTAGGTAAGGGAAAAAAAAGAAAAAAGTAATGATAGAATAATCGAAAAGAAATCTCTGAATTAACACCGAATTTGACGTGGTTGGTTATACTTATCAGGCGTTAAATAATTATTTTTTAGAAACTGTTTAAGTAGATGAGGTGGACAAAAACACGACACATTCGAAACTTATTTAGGAAAATCATTTGGTGCCCCTATTATTTTCCAAAAGAAAAAGAAAAAGTAAATGGAATGGAAAAAAGAAGGGATGGATGAGATTACTTAAGGAAGAGATTGTGTATTTTTTTTTTTTTTGTTACGTTGGATAAAAAAAATTAATAATAAATTAATAATTTTCTATTTTCATTAAAAGAGAAAGAAATATAAAGTTTTAATTATTCCTAACATTATATCCAACAATATTATAGAGGAAAACTTATATAATTTATGATATTATTTTATTTAAAACTTCTATAATAGTCCACTTGTCTTCTCTTTTTGAGCTGATTAAAATTTGTAAATAATGAATACTATGTCATTCTTTATATATATATATAGAGAGAGAGAGAAATGATAGGTCTTTCGACTCCAATTATCGATTCTTACAACGTGGTTGGATTACGTTGGAATTCTTAAAAAATATCCCGTAAACATTTCTTTCTTTTTGACTCATTCCTAATCACGTCGGGAGAAGTCACAATTGAAATCGAAAGACCTATCACTTATCATATATATATATATATATATATATATATATATATATTCTTTTATCTTTTTTACAGGACAAAAAAAAGTCTGTTTCTTTTTTTTTATTTTTATTTTTATTTTTTGTGTCTCCGCATCTCTTATTTCCTTTATACGAGTCAAATCGCTAAATATTTTCGAATCAAAATTGAGTGGCAATGCACCCTCCAACCAAAACCAAATTCCGGCCACAAACATAACGTATTGTGAGAGGTTGGAAGAGTCCGAAATCCGAATTGGGCTCTCCCACCCGGTCACCACTCAAAGGCTGCATGTAGTCCAGGGAAGCGACAAAACTTACAGAAATCTTGTGGACTTTCTTCCCTGGTTTTTATTTTTATGCGAGACATAAAGCAAAGTTACATTTGCTTTGGACAAAATCTGTAACGATATTAGACGTTAACACCTAATTATTAATTATCTCCAAGACATGAATGATTAGACTTTTAATATTATTTTATTTTGTCAATTAAAGATGATTAGCATACTTTATTATTCTCCATATATGAAGAGAAGGTTTTGTTGTTTTGATAAGACATGAGGTTTATCTATATATAATTCTATCTCCATCTGGATGTGTTTTTGTGCGCACGGTTGTAACTGGGACCAATATTTTTTTATTTTATTTTATTTTATTATTATTTTTTTTTCCTGAACAAGGATACAAGGAGGACAGAGAAGCCCAAAACAGAGCAAAGCAAAAAGGAACAAACACCTCACCCAGGAAGAGGATGAATGTCCTTATCAATTACACAGAGGAGCGAATTAGGCCAAATATCCCAAAACAAATCCGAGGAGCGAGGGAGTGTCGGCTGATGGCATGAGCCACTGCATTACAAGAGCGAGGAACCCACGTCAAAAAGCAATCCACCAAGGAGCCCAAAAGGAAGCTAATATCATCAATCATAGTTAAAAGGGAAGAAGACTGAATGATAAGCTTGTATTTTATTAAATAAATTTACTACAATATAATAATTATGTTTTTCTTTATTCTTTTATTATATTTTTTTTTGGATTTTTTTATTTATTAATAATTTAAGTAAATTATAATTACCTTTCTCGAGGTTTGGACGAATCATGCACTTTTTGAATAAGACATGTAAATTATACCGTGTGTGTGTGTATATATAATATTGCAATATAAGGTATATATAAATTCTTTCCCATTATCTAGCCAAATATAATTTTGTTAATTGATAATTTGATTCAAGCATGAATTTTGTCAAAGGAATATGTTGGATTTGAATTTACCAAAATCTCTTGTACACCTAACTTACAGCCATGTGAAAAAATTTATCAATTGGTCCACAAACTTAATTTGTGAAGTAGTTTTATAGACGTATAATATATGTTAAATCTATAGTTTGTTTTACACTTGGCGAGAAAATTTTCATGTGGCCCATATAGTTGTTAGACAGATTTGTGACCATTATAACAATTTGAGTAGTTATATATATATATACACACACACACACACATTAAAAAAAAAAATTATTAAAATAAACAACAATAAATTGTTGATGTAGGTAAAAAGAAATAATATATTCAAGGGTAAAGTACAAAAAAACACTCCTAAATTGTGTTTGAATTTGTAAATAACCCCCTATACTATATTTTGTGTTTAAAACTTCCTTAACTATCACATTTTGTTACAAAATATTCCAATGCCTAGATTATATTTCATTAAATGAACATAATGCTCTTTTTTATTATTTATTATTGAATTACACTTAAGCTATTTTTCTTATTGAAATAAAGTATGAAAAAATTCATACTAATTTGAGGACATATTCTCCATTAAATTTGCATAAATTTACTTTTAATTTTTGAAATTAATTGTTTAAATAAAAATCTTAAGTAGAAAATTTTAAAATAATTTAATTAATTTTTAAAATTTTCAGGAATATATTACATGAAAAATAAGGTATTTTTATTATTAATTTATTAATTTTTTATCATTATATTTTATGAAGAAAAAAAAGTATTTTTCTACTGTAAAAAAATTTAAATTGTGTATAATTAGTTTTATTATAAATAATAAAATTTTAATAATAATTTACTCATTTAAAAAAATGGTAGTAACAAATCTATTTATTTTTTTTATTTTTATGATATATTGATAACAATAATAAAATTAAGGCAAATAATATAATTAATATTTAGATAAGAGAAAAGATAATAAAAATAATTTAATATGAAATGACAAAGAGTAAAATAGTATTATGCAGTAAATTTGTCCTTAATTATAACAAATTAATATTTTAAAGGGATAATTTTTAGTTCAAGGAGGTTATTTACAAAACAAAAATACTCTCTCTCTCTTTTTTTTTTTTTTTGAAAAAATAAAAATAAAATAGCATGGGCCCAAAATAGTCGGGCTTCCTTATTAGTAATAAATACTGTTAGCCCGAATGGCTTAAAAATAAAAACAGCAAAATAAGTCTAGTTTGTGGGACCGATTCTCTCGTAATCCTACTCAGAAACGATTTCTGGACGATTAGGTATCCTAAGTCTGTTTATGGAAATTATGGATTTAGGGTAGGTTTCTAATACTATTGGGTTTAGGATTTGTTTATATAGGTTTCCTTAATACTCGTTTCCGGATGCAATTAGTTTCCTTAAGGTGGTAGGGTTCCTTATTATAAATACATGTAGTGCCATATGTAATTTTCTCTGTAATTTTCTCACTCTGTGGTTTCAATAGCTTTCACACAACTCTCTCTTTCACGAAGGTTGGACATTCATCATGTCGACTTCAAAGCCAATTGTGTTGAGAAGCTCAGATGGAGAGACTTTCGAAGTGGAAGAGGCCGTGGCGTTGGAGTCACAGACCATCAAGTACATGATTGAAGATGATTGTGCCGATTCCATCATTCCTCTTCCGAATGTAACCGGCAATATCTTGTCCAAGATCATCGAGTACTGCAAGAAGCATGTTGAGACCCCCAAGTCCGAAGACAATACTTCCAACGATGTTATCAAAACCTTTGACGCCAACTTTGTCGAAGTCGACCAGGCCATCCTCTTCGATCTCATTTTGGCTGCAAACTATTTGGACATCAAGAGTTTGTTAGATCTGTTATGTCAAAAAGTGGCGGACATGATCAAAGGAAAGACTCCAGAGGAAATTCGCAAGACTTTTAACATTAAGAATGATTTCACTCCTGAAGAAGAAGAGGAGGTCCATAGGGAGAATGCATGGGCGTTTGAGTGAAACTTGTAGTTACAATTTCTTGAAGACTTGATATTCAATCCCTGTAGCGAGTCAAAATGAAGAACTAATGAAGTATTGGGTCCAATTTTTTAGGCAGTCGTTTTTGTGTATTATTCAATTTCACATTAGATAGTTCAACCATGGTGGAAATATGAAACAAGTGTAACTAGCTTATTGTTAGCATTCAACTTTACCAATTGCCAACTACAACATATTTTAAATATTGTCTTAGTAAATAATATGATTTTTTAACGTCACTTTTAGTTTTTAGTTTTATTATGGTTGAATAACGTGGCTTTTTAGTTTAGTTTTTATATATCTCGACATCTTGTTCAATCCACAATTTGTTCAACTGTATATTTCCAACTTCGACAACAATCAAGGACTTTGAAAATTATATTATAACCATATGTCATGCCACTAGAGTCTTCAATTACATATATGTGTATATATAATTATATATATATATATATACACACAGTTACTGTCATCTATATATAATATAGTTGCGTAGCTCAGATTGGTACGGACATATGCACCTGCCGTGCAACTTTTAGAACACTGTCAGATATGTGGGTTTATCAACATTGACGGCAAAATATTGAGCAATACTACTTAGTAGATAGATGAGATGCAATTCAGATTCTGACTCAGCATGAAATTAGAGATAGCCACATAAGCATGTAACCATCAAATTCCCTCATACAATTAATGAGTGAATTTATTATTATTTTTTATTTTTATTGATATTATTATTTTTTATTTTATTATTACTGTATAAAATAAACAAAGAAAAAAGATTTGTAGCCCATCTCAATTTCATAATGTCCTATCCAACTTTTTAAGTTTCGTTGTTTTGCTTTTCTACTCAATTCAAGATCATAACTTAAACCACACCTTATCATTATTTTCTTCAGATCTAAACTTTGTCTGTTAAGAGTGTGTATAATTTATATGCATATATGTATAACTTGTATTTGTGCTTATCTTAGTTTTGATAATGAATTTTTATTTTTATTTTGTGTGTGTTGATGATGGGAGTGTCGGACCTCTTAAAACACTCCATAATCTACCACCAAAAAATTCTTCTAAGGTGACCTAGTTCAAGAGGCTCGAACCAGTAAATCTTTACTTATCATATATCTTCATTAAGAAGAGACCGTATATAGTTTTCAAATGCTCCTAATGAGCAAAAAATTATATAGGCATTTTTAATTGTAGCCATACTGTCTAATCTTACAATTAATAAAAAGAATAAGTGTTTTTTAAAATTCTTATTTTTTTTAATTAGATATTAATTGTGAAATTATTATAAGGGATACTTTCTTAAAATAAAAAATTAATATTCTTAATTTGATTAACCTTACATGCCACAATCTTCGCCGCCTTCTTCCTCCTCCTCCACCACCTCTAACATCCATCACGTAAGACTCGATTAACCATTTTTTTTTGCGTGCACGTATTGATGAATTAAATCATCAAAGAAAATCAATTCATGTAAAACTTGCATAGACACTAATTTGTGCCGTATGTGCAAAGATGATATTAAAAATATGAAAATGAAAGTTAAAGGACCACCTACACCGTCACAATTAATGGGTGATTGTGGCAATTCAAAATTAATGAGATTGAAGAGATTAATTTTTTTTGAAAAAATTATCAATTTTAGGCATTTCATAATTAATGAAAAGAGGATTAGTTTCTTAAAATATTTATTCATTTATTAACCTTTAAATTAGATCTTAAAGTTATGATTAAAAGTGAATAAATTGTGTCCTACTCATAGAGTGTTTATATATATATATATATATATATATATATATTATCTTAACAAACTAAGGATAATAGACTCCACGCTTTACTAAATTACTAGATAATGCGCATGACATGGCATTGATCATTGTTTCGGTAAAGCTATTATAGCCTTTTACTTCATCAACTAACAAAGATTTCCTCCCTTCTTGAAATTAAGAATTTTCTTCTTTGGCTTGAAAGGGGTTAGTAGATAGATAGAATCAACAAAAACAACTACTACATAAAAATAGGGGTTAGTAGATAGATAGAATCAACAAAAACAACTACTACATAAAAATAGTATTATAACCATATTAATTCATATATATATATATAGTTGCTCCTAAACTTTGGAACATTTTGCTTTGAAATTGTACGGTACTTTCTTAAAATAACACATAAAAATAGTAGTCCAACTGCTACTAATTGTATTAGATTTGGCTTGTTTCAATAATTGATAAGATCTTGATCAATGATGTTACATATCGACAATAATCAATGAGAGGAGATGTTGAAAATTAATAAAGTAGGAAAATCCTGCTTTCTAAAACTAAATGAATATTATATTATTTTAAAAAAGTACCGTATATTTTATTTGTGTGTAAATATGATGATTCATAATAGATTTACACAAAAAATTTAGATTATTTATTTTTAGTTCGAGATGTTGTTTTATACCTTTTGCATAAAAATATATCCCCAATAATAACCAACTAGTGTCATGTCTCGACTCCACATAATTTTTACAAACCTACTTAATATAGGATTAATTCTAATTTTTACAAACCTACTTAATATAGGATTAATTCCTTAATGAGAAATAGGAAGGAGAAAAGAAATAATATATAATAATTTTACACATTGGTGACGTGACATTGTATCTTAATATACTGGTGGAGATAAAAAAATTTACGCATCACACGTGACAATGTATATTTTACACAAAAGAGAATTTCTGTCATCTTTCTAATGTGTACACTAATGTCGTATATATTTGGTTCAGTTTTTTTAGAATAATCTTTTATTTTTTTATAAATGAAACTTCAAAATTTTTACAAAATCATACTTGGTTAATCATCTTGAGAACTATTTTTTGAAAATTTAATTAAAAAATATATGTTTTCAAAATATTATCTTTCATAATTCTTTAACTAACCTTGAGAAATGTCTTTTTTTTTTTTTTTTTTTTTTTTTTTTTTTTTTTTTTTTTTTTTTTTAAGTAACAAACTAAACAGATATAAAGCTTTCCCCTCTCTCTCTCTCTCTCTCACGCGCACTAAAATGGTCCATCATCAAGGTGGATTTTTCTTTCGGGTACCACTTGCTTTAGCTATTTCTAATATTTTATTTCCTATCAGAATAAGCATATAGATAAGGTCACTAGATTATTAACAGATAAGAAATGTGAGTATTAAAATAACTTATTCTCTTTTATGGCAATACAATGTTAGGCTTTGCTTAGATATGAATAAGATGGAACTCCTATTTCAATTATAAATATTAAAAGTTTCTTTCCCCTATGTTGTGTTAAATTTGCATTGAAAAGGAAAAAAAGAAAAAAGAAAAGAAATTAGCATTATATTAAACAAAATATTTGGAACTAATATAATGGAATTCAAATTTTAAAAAGGGCAAAATACAGAAAATCCCCCTCGACTTATAGCCTTTTCCAGTAAACCTCTTTTGTCTATTTTTTTTTTATTACCAAAGTACCTCCCTCGACTTGTAACCTTTTCTAATAAATTCTTCTTGTTTAATTTTTTTACCAAATAATCCCCCTCAACTACGTGAAGGGAGTAAAAGAGTTGATATTTGGACCAAAATATCCTTTTATTTAAATCTTAATTATTCCGAAATTAAAAAATTCATATTTCACAAACCGTATATTTAAAAATTGAAAATAATAAGTGCATGAAAAGCTTATGAAATAAGGATTCCAGAAATATAAAATTTGTACAACAAGTCTTCATAACCAGAAAGAAATATGCAATCTAAAAATCTATTCCAACAATTTTATTTTATTTTAAAAAAATAAAATATTGAAAATATTTGTAAGAAATTTTTTAGAATTATTCATTTACATATGGAGCCGAATATATAAAAAAATAGCTCCAACAGAGTCGATATCACGAGATATCATATTTTGCGTTGAAGTATTTTCATTCTTTTATTGACTCACCATTTAAAAAATAAATAAAAATGAATATTTGGTCTTTATTAGGGCTAATTTTATTTTATTTTATTTATTTTTTTATTATTTTTTTTTATGTGTTATGCACCATATGAAAATAAATAGTTCTGAAAATTTTCTTGCAAATAACCCGAGTATTTTATAAAAAATAAAATAAAATAAGATTATTCTAGTAGATGTTTAGATAGTCTATTTCTCTCTGGTTATGAGGTTTTGTTAAATAAATCTTATATTTCTGTAATCCTTGTTTTATAAGATTTTCGTGCATATATTATTTGCAATATTTGGATGTACAGTTTATAAAATATGAGTTTTTGAAGTTTGAAAAAATTAAAATTTAACTAAAATGACATTTTGGTCCAAATATCAACTATTTTACCTTCCTTAGATAGTTGAGGGGGGTTCTTTAGTAAAAAATTATACAAAGAGGATTTATTGTGAATGGCTACAAGTCGAGGGAATTTTTTGGTAAAAAATTAGACGGAAGGGTTATACTGAAAAATATTACAAGTATGGGGATTTATTTTTTTTTGTACTTTGTCCTTTAAAAAATAAAAATTCAGTACATGTGTTTTGAATCTGAAAAAAGATTACGATTTTTTTTTTTTTTTTCTTTTTTGCATGAAATACTTTTGGGATGAGTGTTAAAATGTTAATAGAAAATTTGGAAAACAATTGCATCAAATTTATTTATTTTTAATAAAAAAAACAAGAAATGGAGTTCAAGTGTAAAAAATTAAAAAATATGGTGCAAATATCATTTTCTGTTGAAATTTAAGTAATCTTCCTCCCACGAAAGCAGTAAATAATGGAGTAATAAGTATTGGTTTATGATTTCAACTGCAAAAAACAGAAAAAAATAGTAACCGTCCGATCACAGTACAGTGAGGAACAAAGGCGAAGAAGAAGCAGAAGGCTTGGATCCATCGAGGTCCGGTTGAGAATGACGGATTCGAATATGGATCTGTTGCAGGAGTCGGGTTGGGAAGAACTGAGGAAGGATGCTCGCAAGATCGAGGGCGATCTCGATGTCAAGCTCTCTTCTTACGCTAAGCTCGGCTCTAGTTTCACCCAAGAAGGTCTTTTATCTCTCTCTATAATTGACTCTGTAATATTGCTCTGTCACATTTCCAATTGCTAGCCCTAGAATTGATACTAATCTTGATTTTGGAAGTTTTAGTTAATATTTGCAATTCAATTATTTTATTGGGGAATTTTTATTTTTTATTATTTTTTTATATGTGTGTGTGTGTGTGTGTGTGTATTTTTCCTGTTTTGTCATTGTTTATTTTTTATTTGATATTATGAACTACTATGGGCATTGAAACTTCAAATGGTTCATTAAATAATAATTGCTTGTTAGTCAATTGTGATTATAATGTGTTTTGGTGGTGGTGTGAAGAAATGCCATCAAAGGTTTGACTAGCTGGAAAAAAAAATTAGGATTTGGGAAAGGGATGGTTTAACAATGTGAAGCATCAGCTAAGATTTGATATTTAAAATGACTTTACAACAACTGGAATTTTCAAAATTTCAAAATTGAATCTTTAGTCTGAAGGGATGGAAAGTATTTTCTAGGCACATCAATGAATTGAAGAGCTGTCATAAGACTTTTTTTTGTCATGGTTTTATTTTTACCCAAAATGAGGCTTAGTGTGAACTGCAAATGTGTTGGTTAAATGTTCTAAAGAAGTCACTAGTAAATACAAGTTGATAGATTTGAGAATAATTCGGAATGCACTTGTAATTTGACCTTCTACACTTCTGTATACAACTGATTTTCCATAGAAATGTTCCCAACTCTGAAGTTCGTAAGTCATTCTTCAATACCCATTTGACGAATTGCCTATCTGCTTCACCTGCAAAATTACTTGCAATTGAGAAAGTGTAAAACTAATGAAGTTTATGGCATGTTCTCATAACATTTAGTCTATGTTGGAGAAGGCCGGGGAGTTTCAATTCTTTCCATCATAAGTTGCCGATGAAGTGTGAAACCATATTTTTCATTTTCTAAAGACTTAATCTGCCTACCAAGGGCATTCGTTATTTAGGTTCATATTTTTAAGTACAACCAGTTGTTAGCTTAAGTGCTTTCCCCTGCCATTCTGAGGAGGGGGTGTAGGATTTAGGTATCAAGCTGGACACCAGTGCGCCTTGTTCTACTTGAAAAAGGTTCCTAAAATTGCAAGTAATTTTGCAGGTAAAGCAGATATGCAATAGCTCAAGTGAGTATTAAAGAATAACTTATGAACTTAATAGTTGGGAACATTTCAAAGCACCTTCTAGGGCAAATCAGTTGTGTACTGAAGTGCCGAAGGTAAAATTACAAGTGCAATCTGTATTATTCTCAGATCTATTAACTTGGATTTACTAGTTGCTTCTTTAGAATGTTTCGCCAACACATTTGCAGTTCACACTAAGCCTCATTTTGGGTAAAGCTGAAATCTTAACTAAAAGTCTTATAACAACGCTTCATTTCATTAATGTGCCTAGAAAATACTTTCCATTCCTTCAGACTAAAGATTCTATTTTGAAAAATTGAAAATTCCAGTTGTTGTATAGTCTTTTTAAATATCAAAACTTAGCTGATGTTTCACATTCTAAAACCATCCCTTTCCAAATTCTTAATTTTTTTTTCCCAGTAGTCAAACTTTTGATGCATAAAACTAATGAAGTTTTTGGCATGTTCTCATAACATTTACTTTATGCCGGAGAAGGTGGGGGGTTTTCAATAGTTTTACATCTGAAGTTGCCAATGTAGCATGAAATCATATTTTCATATCGTTAAGAATTAGTTAACCTGCTTTCCAAGGGCATTCCTTATTTAAGTTCATATTCTCAAGTACAACCAGTTGTTAGCTTTAGTGCTTTCTCCTGCCATTCTGAGAAGGGGGTGCAGGATTTAGGTATCAAACTGGACACAGGTGCGCCTTATTCTACTTGAAAAAGGTTCATAAAATTGCAGAGTAATTTTGCAGGTGAAGCAGATATGCAATAGCTCAAGTGAGTAAAAGAATAGCTTATGAACTTAATAGTTGGGAACATTTCAAAGCACCTTCTAGGGCAAATCAGTTGCATACTGTAGTGTAGAAGGTAAAATTACAAGTGCATTGTATTATTCTCAAGGGTTAAATTAAAATGCTAATAATAATTTTTTTAATTGTTTTTGTAATTTTAAAATAGCAAGGTCAATTTTGTAATTTAATATTAAATAATAATTTTGTAATTTAACATTATCTAATGGTCCTTTATTAATTTTGTAATTTTAAAATAATAATTTTCAGCATTTTAATTTAACATTGAATAACAAGGTCAATTTTGTCATTTCACAACCAAGTTAATGGGTCGGTCATGGATATGGGGGCAATTTGATAACTTTCTTCAGTTCAGTTTATTTATTTATTTTATTTATTTTATTTTTACTAGTTGCTTCTTTAGAACATTTCGCCAACACATTTGCAGTTCACACTAAGCCTCATTTTGGGTATAGCTGAAACTTTGACTAAAAGTCTTATGACAGCTCTTCATTTCATTAATGTGCCTAGAAAATACTTTCCATCCCTTCAGACTAAAGATTCTATTTTAAAAAATTGAAAATTCCAGTTGTTGTATAGTGATTTTAAATATCAAATCTCAGCTGATGTTTCACATTGTAAATCATCCCTTTCCCAAATCTTAATTTTGTCCCCAGTAGTCAAACTTTTGATGCAATAAAACTAATAACATTTGATGCATGTTCTCATAACATTTACTTTATGCTGGAGAAGGCAGGGAATTTTTCATTAGTTTTACATCTGAAGTTGCCGATATAGTGTGAAATCATATTTTCATTTTGTAAAGAATTAGTTAAATCTATGTACCAAGGGCATTCCTTATTTAAGTTCTTGTTTTTAAGTACAACCAGTTATTAGCTTAAGTGCTTTCTCCTGCCATTCTGAGGAGAGGGTGTAGGATTTAGGTATCAAACTAGACACAGGTGCGCCATATTCTACTTAAAACAGGTTCATATTCTCTATTGTTCTGTAAGCAACTGGCAAATGCTTTTGAAAATTATGACTTACTTTTAGCATATTACATGGGTTAAACGAATTCTTGAATAAACAATGTACTTGTAATTTGGGTCTGGTCATTGCTGCTATCCATTTGTAAGGGTATTCATTTCCTTTTATTACTAGATTTGAAGGTCTTACTTCCTTATAGATGGCATCCTCTTAACGATCCTACTTGTTGATTATATTTTCTGTTTAATTTTGATTGTTTATATTGGGCCAATTGGAAATTGATATCTTATTAGGGACTGCTTAACCTTTTGTTCAGTTACTTCTTTAAGCCTTTTGGGGTGCCCAAGGGCCAAGCTGGAAGTGCTCTTCATGGTTGTGAATGAAGGACACTGGGGAGAAGTTCTTTAAGTTGCTTTCAAAAATTCAAAGTTTGAATGCTGAATAGTTTGGCTGGAGTGTCTGCTTTTCTGATCATGTATTTACTTCCAGGTCATGTGGATATTGAATCCCCTGCTGTTGGGTCCAGCAGGTCATGTAAATCTATGGAAATGGAAATCCAATCCTTACTCGAGAAGTTACTTGATATAAATGATGCTATGAGTCGATGTGCTGCATCTGCTGCACCTACTACTTCAGTGGCCCAAAAGCTTGCAAGGCATAGAGACATACTGCATGAGTTTACCCAGGTTTATCTTCAATTTCAATAATAATGCTTTTGCAAGTATTTCATCATAGTGATATCTGCTCTGTGCAAAGAATCTCTTCGGCTGCATTATGTACTAGGTATTTCTATAAACAGCAGGTACATTATGAATGGTTCATGATGTAATGCACACTGTTTCGTGTGCAGTTATTCATTTTGATTTTATAATTTAACTTTACATCAATAGCTATTTATTCCTAATTTAAATTATTAAGGACTCAATTAAATTGACATCTAAGCTTCAGGCTTTCCTAAATGGTAACATACAGAATTAAGCAATGGTCATCAATCATTATTTATAGAACTCTTAACTAAACAAATATTAGGTGAACATTGTAGTTTTATTTGTACAAATTAAGAAATTCGAGGAAATCATGTACTACATAGGCTAACTGGGCAATAGCTTTTTGGCAATAGTATATTAGACCATCTACCTTGTGACCTGGTGGGGCTGGTTTCAGCACATGCTAGTGTCAAACCCCACTCCTTTTCTAAAACAATAATAATAGAATAAAATAAAATAAAAAGAAAATCTGTCTTGTATTGCCATAGAAATTCAGTCAAGAAGAGAACCAACATTCTTAATTGGATGTAATTTCGGGATGAAAGACCAGAAATTCTAAATCTACAATTCTACAAGGCATCACAGTCTGAAAGAACCATCTATGTTTCTTATGGTGTTGATTGATATGTTGAACTGGGGACCTGACACTATTCAGTCAGTTCAGGGTTTATGCTAGATTGCCTTAAGGAAAACAAATTCTCAAAAGTTGTCTAAACTGGGCAGACTGAACCAAATCCGAAACTGAGTTTGACTTGAAAATTTCACCATTTGTAATCCAATTCCGATTATTTAAGTGCACAACCAGTCTCACTAGCAATGGGACAGATTTCCTGGTTGACCTACATTTATGCCGTTTTGACCTTGAACTGAGCCAGAGTTACCTCAAGCTCAGTCAGAAGTTTATTTTGGCCTTGACAACCTGGTCCTAACCCGATTTTAGTCCTACTATTTGTTTCCCTAGCTGCCCTTTTTTTTTTTTTTTTCTTTTTTTTTTTTCTTTCCTGAGTTTGCAACTTCTGTGCATTCTGGCATTTGCTTCCTAGACTGTTTTGCTCCTACTTTTTTTTTCCCCCTTTTTGCCTGTGTCTTGTTTAGTGCTTTATTTTACTTAACCAGGCCCAAGTCCTGAAAAAGGAAGAGGGTTGCATTAGGTAGCTTGATAATCAATGTAAAACATTTGTCAGGACTATAATACTCTGTAAAATTTTGGACGATAATATGTGGTTTCACTGAGACTATGGCCTTAAATAGAACTGAATGGTGAAGCATAATTTTATGCAGTCGACAACAAATAGTTGGGAAAATTTATTGAGTTGAGTTGTGTTGTAATTACCCTCTCTTTTGAAAAACGGAAATATTTCGTGATGGCTGTTGATGGAAAAGCTTCTGCAATGACCTTGATTTTTAGGCTTAGATCATGATCCCCATAATTGATCTTAAACTCTCATGGTTGCTAAAGCTAGGTCAATGAATTGAGGCAATCTTGATGTGGACTGCAAACTAAGTTTGTGGAAGACATTTGATATGGTGATTCCTGTGTTGCACTTGCTATACATCTTGCTGGAAGTGTGTCAAAAATTCTGTAAATTATCTCTTTGATATTAATATGAATCATCATATTAGTTGGGTTGCTGGTCCCATCCCCCTAGAAAGGAGTAAAAATTTGCATCAGTAATATATTTTTAGATCTTCTAATGCTCAGCACAATTCTTTGTCTTTGCTTACTTATCACCATGAATAATCTTACTATTACTATCTATTTGCAAAACTCATCTAAGCATAATAAACTGCAAAAATAATTCTGATATATGGCAGTACACAAGCCGATGAAATATTATTTTATTAATTTGGAGAGATTAAAACTCATGTACTTCACCCATAAATGGTCAACAGATCTGATGGGTCTCACCATCTTCGGTTATTAAATTCAGCTCTTCTCCAACGAACATGGTCTTTTCAGTTTGCTGTGAAGTACATGAAGAATCTAGACTTATGCACTGAACCATGTGACGGGACGAAGCTTTCAGGCTGAATCATGAAACCCGAACGTTCTAGAATTCTACACTTGTCCCTTTTTTGAGTCATGAAAGAAGTATTAAAAGATATATATAGAAGTTAAAAGGCTGTTGCTTCTCTCTTCATTATAACCCCTGATGATTCAGTATCTTTCTGTTTCATAAATCTAATTTTGTGTCCCAGCTGCATTTCGGTCTATTTTCCATGTCTAACCTGGGATTCTGGGTTACATTTGACTTTCTACATTAGTTGACACCTGTAGATTATCTTATACTCTTTGATCTAGCATGTTTTGAATGCTACTATGTTGGTATCTTAGAGCCTATCTTGTTAGTTCCATGTTAGTGTATTTACCCAAATGGTTTTCAGCTGCGCTTGTCTGAAATCCTCAGCTATACTAGCTTCCCGTGAATCTGTCACTTCTTTAGTGGGCACTGCATCATTTGGTTAAATAAGTTGTGCTTTCTGTGAACGAATGTGATGTATTCCTTCTAGGAATTTAGACGAATCAAGGGAAACATAAACTCAATGAGAGAACATGCGGAACTTCTCAGCTCTGTAAGAGATGATATCAGTGAGTACAAGGTAAGCAGGATTAAAGTTGTAAATTTTTATTGTTACTGCTACTTCTGTTGTTTCTTAGAGCTAAGATCTGCTTTTTATGCAGGCATCTGGGAGTACGTCACCTAGAATGCAATTACTACGGGAGAGAGCTACCATACATGGAAGCATAGCTCATGTAAGACTGCACTTCTCTTTGATTGTCATATCTTTTTTCATATACTTTTAACAAAGAATTATTTCAACAGATAAATGTTAGTGTATTATCTAATCCAATATAACTTTACACATAAACGGTAAAACGGTCAAGCTTCTGGAATCCCGTCGTGTTTCTTTTGTGCTTATTAAAATTTATGCCAGTAAAAATGAAATAAAAAGAAAAGTCAATTGCACCTCTAAAGTTTCTTTCAGAGTGTTATTTTATTGGTTGAGTTCTTGACAGTAAGACCTTTGCAAATCTTAATGAGAAGTTGCTTTGATCACAATTCACGTTATATTGTTTGGTTTAATTTTAAGCAGATAGATGATGTGATTAATCAAGCTCAATCAACGAGGGCAGTCCTCGGGTCACAAAGGACTATGTTCGGAGATGTTCAAGGGAAAGTGAAGCTATTAAGTGATAAGTTCCCCATTATTCGGGGTCTACTTGGTACATCCTTGAATCCAGCTCTCCTCCAAGTTCCTTTTCTTTATGATTAATCTTTATTAATCTTGTTGCTAATCTTGCAGGCTCAATTAGAAGGAGGCGATCGAGAGACACTATCATCCTGTCTGCCATTATTGCAGCTTGTACGTTGTTTCTTACTATCTATTGGCTTTCAAAGTAATTATATATGCAATTTAATGATGAGAAAAAAGGGAAAGATGGTGTTTCTTTTTTCTAACAAATTTTATATATGTATTTTGTTAGAACAACTCAGATTCAATGTTTAAAAGCCTCGACACCTTTTAGTGGTGCCATTATCCCCAAAAACTTTTTAACTTTGCTTCCTTCCAAATATCTGCCAAAATTGGTACTCTTCATTGCACACAGAGATTAAAGCAAGAAAATAAAAAGCAAACAGTAAGTGATTCGCATGAAAACTGCCCCAATTGAGGTTGTGGTTCATTGTTTCTAAGCCTACCATCCGTTTAGATTCGAATCTGAACGAGGTAGGATCAGTACAGCGTAACTGTTGTACTGCATCTAAAGGTCCACAAGTGTCACACGTGATTAAGTACACGTGTGAGGATTGTGGACCCTCAGATGCAGTTCAACACTTGTGCTCCGGACTCGTCTGAAACACCTCATTCCTGACCTAGCCTGCCAAGCATCGGGGCTTTGTAGGAAGGTCTTTGATGAGCCCACATAGATTTGCATCCAAGCTAGGTTGTGCTTTGCTTTTGCTATGGTCAAAATTATTATTCCTATGTTGTAATGCATAAACAATACCATTACTAGTCATACCCATTATTGTCCTTTAAAAGTGTATTCTATCTTTTGATCAAAGGAGGATTGGGAAACATAGCCATTTATGCTCCCTTTTACAGACTTTAACAATAGCAATGTCAGGCCCACTGGTCCGCGTGCAAACAAGAAGAAGGTGACAATGATTGTTGCAACAAAGATAACGAATCTCTCTTGCGTATGAAAACACACACACACACACATATTGATTATATATACAACAATGTCAACCACGATTCAATATTTAAACAAGATAAGCGAGTTTATAATACTGTCATCACAGTAACTCAGTAAGTTACACAAATGTTTGGCTAGCTGAAAATAAGTTAGACAAATATATTTGCTAATCCCTCTCTTTCTTTCTAATTTTATCATTTTCCCACCTGCCAATCAAGTGGAAAACAAACATGAACTAAGAAGTTGCCAGCAAAATAAATTAAAGAAATAAAAGGGACTCGTTAATGGTGTACTTATAATAGCTTGGATGGTATTAGTTTTTTCTTTGCATCCTTTCAAGTTCTCATCTTCTGACTCCTGCGTATAGAGTTTCATTGAACAACCCTGACCTACCCTCACCCTCCCGGGAAAAAAAAAGGAAGAAAAAACCCGACCTACCCTCCTAGTAGTGCCTCGAATGTTTGCCTAAAGAATCTCTCTCTCTCTCTAATTATATATATATATATATATATAAATGTATGTATGTATTAGAGATAGCACACAAGTCAATTGGACCAAGATTCTTTATACTAACCTTTGATTTCTGCTGGTGCATTTGATATATAATAGTAAATCTTCATTTTGTATTTATTACATCCTCACCGTCATTATTCTTGTCTTTATATGTAAAAATAAGTTAACACGAGTTAACACGTGAATTCTCTTTTGCAGATTCTTCCTACTACATGCCATTTGACATGTTATATTTAACTTTTAGAAATTATTTTTAATAATCTTGTTTCATGTTATTTTTGATAGCCCTCCCTGTCTCCTACATCTAACCCGTCTGATTTATTAAACGGGTTAATTACCTGTTTATCAAAATTAGAAATTTAATATTCAATCAAATAATAAATACTATAAAAAATTTGTCACAATTAACCCAAATATTCAAAATAAGAAAAAAAATCATAAGACGTAGTCAATGTTAATATAGAAATGACTTAACTATCCATAGTAATTGGATTTAAATAGGTAACATAATACATACATATGTCATATTTACGATTATGACATGTTGAGTTAAACGGGTATAAACGAGTTAAATTTCTCAATCCTAATTCGACAGGGTTAAATAAACGGGTTAATCGTATCAACATGTTTATAATTCAAACATTTAAACCTAATTCAAACCCATTTATGTCATGTCGTGTTAGCGGATCGTGCCAATCCTCCTGAGAAACAAGTGTCCAAACTTTTAAGTATACTTTAAATCTCTATCTAATTTTTCTCCCTAAGGTGGGCCACTGTTAATTTTTCTCACACTTTCATTAATCTATTACTCCCCCATTACTCTACATCATCATGATGTGTTTATTACATGACGTAATATTATCAAGTGGAGCACTGTACCTTTTAATTTTCACATGGCACAATAATGTCCATTGAATTATCAGTAAAAATCAGGTACTAGTGGAGAGGATGGTTAATTTCTTATTGAATCTGACCACCACTTTCTTGTTTCCTTTTCAAAAGATAAATATCTTCAACAGTTGCAGTATACTTACCGGCACATTTTCAACCACCAGATTGAAGAACCGTTCAAAATTTTCTTTCATGGTTCTTCAATCATCATCATTTTATTATTATTATTATTATTATTATTATTATTATTATTAATAATTTTTCCCATCAATGATGCCGGGCCTCATATACAGGATAATTATGAAAAAAAAATCTTTGGAGCGACTCCAAAATATTTAAATTTCTATCGATGTGAACTCGTTACTTCCTGATATATTTATTTTAATTCTTAAGATTTTGTTGTTTTGTGAAAAGAAGTATTTTTTCCTTTAATATTGTGGATTTATTAGTTTTAAAATGAATGAAGTCATAAATGTAAGGAATTTAATTCAATTGCACGTGTTTCATTTTCCTTTCAAATAAATCAAAATTTTTTTTTCTGAGTTTCTCGTTGATTGGCTTATTTTTTTTATCATTAAGTTGGAGAATTACCTCTCATTTTCTCATATATGTCACTGATAAAAAAAATATTAATATTATAATAAAAGTAAAAAAAAGAAAAGAAGAAAGAATAATTTTAGAAAATAAATTTGTCAAATAGTTTTATGTTTTTTTTTTTTTTTTTAATAATGTCATTACTAAAATCATATCTAGTCTGAATATTTGTAATATTATCCTTTAACTTCAATTACATAATCATTACACTTCAAATATTTTCATAGAAAGTGCTATAATCCCATGAGTCCATTCTCTTACTAAATTAGTGTAAAAAGAAAATTACATATAAGTCCATTCTCTAACTAAATTAGTGTAAAAGAGAAATTACATATAGATATGGATAGATACATAATAAAGAAACAAAAAAACAAGGTTGGATATCACATCAATTCCGCTTATTCAATTGCTCTAAAATATTTGTGCCAGGAAAAAAAAAAAAACCAAAAAAAAAGACCAAAAAAATTGCTCTAAAATATATATTTTATATACACATATATGTATAATTAAAAATAAACAAAACCCTATTTGAATCCTTTGCGTATTCATTTTTTATCAATAAACTTTTAAATGATGTGTTATAACAAAATTTTACATAGCTGAAATTTCACTATCTTTGAATTCGAGCTAATAACAGGATGGAGTTTAGAATTCAAGACGTGAATTGATGCCAATGAAACAATTTTTATTTTATTTTATTTTTATGAACATTTTGTTGTGAAACATTTATTCTATGACTTTTTAGGTTTATATTATTTGACCGTTAATCAAAAGTCCCTCGAGAAGTCCAACGGGCCTAACAAATTGAAAAGTTAAAGCCCCAATATTATTCTGATTGTATATATATGTAATAGAGTAATATAAAGAAGTAAACAAGTCAGAAAATGAAAGAAAGAAAAGTCTCGCAGGCCACAGCACACATTACACATACCTTCCTTCTAAGACATCCAAAGCACCCCCCACCTCACTACTTCTATACCTCTCCCTCTCTCTCTCTCTCTCTCTCTCTAAGCTAAGAATTTGGAAGTTGCTCTCAGTTTCTCTCTCTAGATACCAAGAGTGAAGAGTACCTCCATCCCACTCTCTCTCTCTAAAGAAACTTCTTTGAGCAGAGAGAAACAAAGTGGAAAAAGGAATTCAGAGATGCTAGAAATGGATGGATCGGCAAAACCTCCGCAGATCTCCGAAATGTTCCAGAAGTTCGCTCTCGCTTTCAAGACCAAGACTTTCGAATTCTTCGCCGAGGATGACGAAACCGCCACCGCTGCCGCTGCCGCCGTCACCGAAGACGCCGACGGCTTCGCCCTCCTGGACTCCGCCGAAGAATTCATCACCGACCAGAAAGTCGTCGTCATCAAACCGGACCAAACCCACAATCTCTCTCCCACAAAATCAGCTTCTCCGATTGAACTCACCAACACCCAATTCACCGAAACCCTCATGTCGTCGCTATTCGCCACAATTTCGTCGTTTGAAGCTTCGTATCTTCAGTTACAGACAGCCCACGTTCCCTTAGACGAGGACGCCATTAAAACCGCCGATCGAGCTTTGGTATCGCATCTCCAGAGAGTGTCTGATTTGAGGCAATGTTACAGAAACTTTCGGAAAAACCCTAATTCCAAATTTGATTTTTCAACTGGGTCTTGCTTCGAAGCTCAGGTGCAAGAGAATCAGAGCAAGCTTCGAACGCTAGACACCGCCATCAATCGATTACAGGCGGATATCGACGTTAAAGACGACCAAGTTTTGATTCTCAGGCAACAGTTGAACAGTATCCAACACACCAATTCGAAGTTGACAAAGAGATTATCGATTAATTCGACCGGCGAGGTCTCGGTAACCATCCGGGTTTTTGATTCGATGTTGCGTGAAGCTTGTAGAGCATTGCATAGTTTCACTAAGCTCTTGATTGAATTGATGAAGAAAGCAGGGTGGGATTTGGAATTGGCTGCAAATTCGGTTCATCCCAATATCGATTACGCGAAAAAAGGCCATAATCGCTATGCTTTCCTGTCTTATGTTAGCCTGGTGATGTTTCGAGGTTTTGATTCAGAAAGTTTTGGCTTGGGCGAGAACAGAGTTGTGTGCAATGGTAATGGATCAAACTCAGACATGAACAGTTCATTGAAGCAATTGATCGAGCATGTATCGGGCAATCCAATAGAGGTTCTAAGTAAGCATCCAAATTATGATTTTTCGAAATTTAGCGAGAGAAAGTATCAGCAACTCATACACCCTACCATGGAATCATCAATTTTTAGTGATTTGGACAGAAAGGAAGTGGTACTGGATTCATGGAGATCACTGGGTGTATTCTATGAGTCGTTTGTTCAAATGTCAAGCTCAATTTGGTTGCTTCATAAGCTGGCCTATTCTTTCAATCCCAAAGTTGAGATTTTTCAGGTGGAGAGAGGCGTAGATTTTTCGATGGTATACATGGAAGATGTCACGCGGAAAGATATAGTTCCCAGTAAGAGTAGGCCGAAGGTGGGATTCACAGTAGTCCCCGGTTTCAAACTCGGGAAGACGGTGGTTCAGTCTCAGGTTTATCTAACTGGCTTGAAGTGTACATAGTAGTAATGGTTACACAATGGGAAAATAAAGAATCATAAACAATAGAGGCTACTTCAAATGGGGATCGAAAGACATTGGTGGAATGGGTTTTGGATTGTTTGTTGAGAATCTTGATATAAGAACACTAAGAATTCGATTGGAGTTTCTCGATCAAAAGATGCCTCAGTGAATGTGCTCAAAGAAAGGAACTTGGGAAATGGTACAATTACTAAATGCTATCTTCTTAGTATGTGGCATGGAAGCATTTTTAGAATTATCTTGTGATACTTGTGACTCACTTCGGTTTATGAAGTTGCTTACATTGTTTCCCTTTTCTTTTCTGGGGTTTTCTGTTGAGCCCATGTAGAGATGGCTGTAAAGCAATGTTTACTTGTTTTTTTCTTTTGTTTTATAGGTTTGTGGTGGGAGATGGGGTTGGTGTGGGTGTGGGGTTGGGGGTAGGGTGTCTTGACACTAATATACATTACCAAATTGTATGTAACTTTGCATTTTGAGAAATTAAAAGTGTTTGAATTTGTCAACATAAATTGGTGAATGGAATTTTACAGTTGTCCATGTGATCTCTGTTCATCTTGATTGCTATCTTAAAGATTTTTAGCATCTCTGTTAAATTTTTTTTTTGACTAGTTCATAAGAGGAGTGTCATTTGCCAAAAACTCTGTGGATTAGATGATGGCTGCTATTTGCATTAACATGATTCTATTGCATTTTTACCACCCATACTGCTGAGTAAAAAATCGAACTCGTTTGTTTCTGTTTATGCTTGCTCTGTATTGCTATGATTCAATTTTTACAGTGAACATGAGCTGATTAGAAGAGAAATCAGCAGAGCTGGGCTGATTATGAAGACATAAGAGCTGCAGTATGAGCAATCTGCCATTTATTGTCTGGACACCAACATCAAAATTTTGCGGTGTTCTGCTGTAAGAAAATTTCTGTGACATTTTTACTCTAGTGTAAAAATTTTGTGCATCATGTATTATTGACATTTGAATGATTAATTTCGTCAACTTTGAACAGGAACCATTTAGGAACAATTTCACTGTGCTATTAAATGTACTAGTGGTCAGTCTGGTTAACAGAAACATCTGCTCAAGTTCATTTTGCTGTGTGTATGTGTGTGTAATATGTATGTCTTTGTCTTCTTCCTGTGTGTGTGTGTGTGTGTGTGTGTGTGTGATATGTATGCCTCCTCTTCAAAATTAAAATTTTCTCGCATCTGGGTGACGACATTTTCTCACCTCCTATTTGATTCAGTTCCTATCATTCTTTTCACCATTTTTTGTGTGTAAATGCATGGAATCAACAGCGTGAGGCAACTTGTAGAAGCAATTTTCGGGGATATTGAGAACAGGATGGTTAACTAAGATGGGGACCATAATAAAGTCAATTGATCTTTATTCTTTAATTCTGTTTGCGATTTGTACTCGGAGCAACTTCTCCGGAGGGAGGCATTCAAAAAGTGAAGAAAGTGTGGAGAATTTTTTGTTAGGCAGTGCGTTAGTTTAGCGCTTGAATAAATGTCTGCTAACAAAAACATAAGGTCAGTATATGCTCTGATGCAAGCAAAAATGCTCTTCTACAGCCGGCCTTAACATGTGGTTCTGAGTAGTTGACACTGTTTGGCTTATGGGTTGGATGATATAAGAGGTGGTTGACACTTATATTTGTGGATGTCTTTGAATTGTGCAGGCGTGTTTTACGTTTTACAGCAGAACAGGTCGTGACAATTTGAAAAAAGAGCCATTCTCTAGCAAAAGTGGAGCTGAGACTAGTGAAGACATTGGGTCCGAAGAGGGAGCGATTGTGACGATTGTGACTCTACAGGGAGGAGATGTTGTTGACACTTGACACTTATATGTGTGAATATCTTCAAACTGTGTAGATGCGTTTTAAAAACCGTAGACAAGAAGAAAGTGTAAAGCGAACAATATCTACGGAGTGGAGCAGTTCGTGATAATTAAAGTCCTCAAAACCACATATTTGGTCCTGTATGTACGTTTGATTGAGAAAGAGAGGTCATCTGATCACATCTTTGGCATGTTGCACTTTTTGTAAATTGCATAATGTAAACCTTATTGTTCAACAACTAGGAAAGTGACATTTCCAAGGACACGCATTTCTTTGGCTAAGCTTATTGTGGTAAAAATTCCATACAAACACTTGTTTGCAAACAAATGAAAATGCAGTAAAAATGTGTACAGCAATTAAAAATCTTGGCTGCTTATCCAGTTATCGATATCCCATTCGTCCCTGGCTCCCTCCAATTGAGAACTAAAAACAATCTTCCAATGCTGTGTAAATATCCTTTTTACCTTCTCCAGAGGAGGTATTCCCACTTGAGCAGCCAGCCAGTCCATGTACTCAAACTGCCATCAAACCATAAAATCAAAGAAATTATATATATATATATATATGTTCATTGCTTCATGCATGTGTATATATAGGCATCAATGTCTATAATAAATTTTCTATACTTGTATTTATATAAAATGAAAAATGAATAGTACAAGAAGAATGACAACTGGGGAATGAAAACCTCATTTTTACGAAATTGATGGGTATGGTGCTTGGGGATCCTGGATTCCTCCTTATGCCGGTAAAATTGTTCAACTTCAGCCAGCATCTCCTCCTTGGAAGGCAGAGATAGTTTACCGGCTAAAACATGCGCTATCCACTTGGATTGTAACTCCATCATAGGAATTATAACGACCTATTTGTAAAATAAAATTCGAGTTATCATACTAAGAAATTAATACATTAATTGCAATGACACATATTTTTTTTCTCTGGTAAGGTAAGTGAGAATTAAGTTAATAACAACAATATCAAGAGATTCAAGAGTAACAACTGACCCTAAAAGGTATTCCAACATAGGAGAGCCAAGGACCAAGCTGGGGTGGGAAGACATGCTTGTAAAGTGGTCCTACTCGGTTGTCATCAATGGTCACAATTCCATTTGTGTTAAGAAATGGGAAATGGTAATTGTACCTATATACAAACATATATGAATCATGCATGTACAAGTTTATGTTCAAGAAAACACAAGAAAACAAAAAAACTAATTTAGAATCGATAAATACCCAATACAGTGAAAAATGACATCTGCTTTAACAGAATATCCGTCTTCAAAGGCTATTGTACCATCTTCAAAAACATAATTAATCTGTAACATGATTAAAATTCATTATGTTATATCTTGAAATGCTTTTATTGAGAAAAACAAGATACACATGATTTTGCAACATGATGTTATTGTAGATTTTTAAGTATTTGTTATCTGCGAAGTGTGTTCTATAAACATGATCCCGAATCCTCTGTTGTGGTACCTCGGTGTTGTAGCATTTTTCAACGCACTTACACCGATTTTCAACATATTTATTCTACATTTCAACGCACTTGCATGTGTTGAAAACAGATGTAAGTGCGTTGAAAAATGCTTAGGCGCTACAACAGAGGATCCACCGGGCACTATAAACATGGATAAGGATCCTCTCCAAGAAAGGAGAGGTCCTGCACACCGGTATGCATAGAAATGTAAGGAGTAAATACGATATAAAAATGTTTTATTTATATGGAGAGGATAAAACATATGTATGTACATATTAAATACATATACCTTTGAATGTTGCCATATGTTGTCATAACGGTCTAATTTTGAGATTTTAACATCTGGATGTCTTGAAGAAAGATGAACTTCTTTGGCAACTTTAGCAATATCTCTGGATATTTCAAACGCACTAGGCCCAGCTCCAACCATAACCACAATCTGCAAGATGGAATTGTTCAACAAGTAGTTAAATCAAGATATACTGTTCAATGACCAAATTGCCCTCCATATACCTTCATATTTTCTTTCCATGTCAAAACTAAAAAGTAATGTACTTATTTTGAGTTGGCAGTTACTTCCATTATTTCATAGTTGAAGGTAATTTAATTTTCCTAGAATATTCAAACCACAATGCATGGGAATAGCAGAGTAACATACCTGATTCCGAAATGGTTCAGAAACACGGTAATTGTGACCATGTACTTGCTTTCCTGACCATTTCTCAATGCCTGCATACATTTGAAAATCATATTCCCCAGATAACTTAAATTATTTATAAGCATTTTATACTAAATGGAAAATTTATCTATTCATACTAATATATTGAATATAAAAAATAAAAATGTCTCTCTTAGATTTCTCACCTTAATTTTCTATCTGCATTACTAACTAATACATCTTCAAATACCATCTCGGAGCTCAAACCACTTTTTCTTGACTCAATGACTCACTCTAGTTCCCTCGAGTCAACCCTTGAAACTCAGGCGACTTCATTGTTGTCCAATTCCTTTTTTGAAAGGAAAATGCTTTAAAAGTCCCAACACTCAAAACATCCCAACCTTGAAAATATGAAATGCTTTCACGTGGTGGAAAATGCTATTTAAGCATATCTTGCTTGCCGTACAAAGGCTCCTTAGCTATGAGATGCATTCACGCGTGCGGGACCCACGCCACGTATGAATGCATCTCATAGTTGAGAAGCCTTCCATCTCTGATTTCGGCCGAGAAGATCGGTTCACTTATGTTGATATACGTGCCACGACGTCTGCTTGAGTGGCACCATCTCTGAAAATAAGTACACCTGGCCAGTACTTATCTGGCGTGCTCTTAAAAGGACTAAGGGCTAGTTTGGTGTGGTGGAATGGAATAAAAGAAAGTGGAATGGAATGATTTTTTTTTTCCATTATCGTGTTTGGTGCCAATTTTAAAGTTGGAATTATCATTCCCCACTATTTTTGGAGAATGGTCATTGCATCAAAATCATTACACCTTTAAACAAAAGGAATAACTATTCCATTCCATTTCCACCTCCATTCTCATTCCATTCCAATTCATTCCACCACACCAAACTAGCCAATTATTTTTTTCAAGTTCTAGGGGTTTCAACTTCATTAAGATCTATCAAATGGGCAATTTCCATAACTTGAGCAGAATGTAATTCATCAGTTCGTTTGCAAGAAGCTCCGATGTTATTGATAATGAAGTTCAAGTTTGAAAAGAATTGATGGACAGCGATTACTTTTCTAAATGCGGCAACTAATGCTAGTTGTAGTCGGTGAGTTAAGCAATGCACATAATATGTATAAGGACAATCATTAAGAAATAATGCTTGCAAACCATTCCATTCACCACGCATATTGCTAGCACCATCATAACCTTGACCTTGGAGATTGTGAACATCAAGATTATAGTGAGAAAGAGCCACACAAAGTTCCTCTTTTAAATTCAATGAAGTTGTATCTTTGACATGCACAAGATCAAAGAAACATTCTTGTAAAAAACCATCCTTATCAACATATCTTAAAATGAGAGCCATTTGCTCTTTATTAGATTCATCACGAGCTTTATCAACAAGAATACAAAACTTGGCATCGCCGATAT